TTCCACTGTATATTCTTATCTTTTAATTCATACAGAATTATTATGTTTAATCATGTTATGTTTATTTTTTTAAATTTATAATATAACTTCATTTCTTTCTTTGGGGATAATAATTCATATTGGTATTATTTGTGTGCCTATTTTAGCCAAAAATTATAATAATTACTATTATTACATAACGAACCTTTATACTAATTCAATGTAATTCAATAATCCATTTGAAATTATATTTCCTGTCCTATTTATTAACATTTGCTATCAGCATAAAGAATTATAGTTTTGGTGTTTTTTAAACATATTTTAATTATTATACATATTCTTTGCCAAGTAGTCAGTATTATTTTTTACGATTCTACTCAAATAGTTCTATTTGTAGATCCTTTATAACTTAAAATACAGTAACTGATCGTTTAGATTAATTTAAAGCCAGGATTCTCAAAGTTACTTCAACCGAAATATAAAAACTGTAAAGAGGTAAAATTTATTTTTAGAGTAACAATAAAAAACCTGCGTCTAAATATTTATATGAGATACAAATAAAAATTTATATTGATTATACCAATATCGAGTAATGCTAATACAATTCACGTATATTTTGGTACGTCTTACACCGTATTAACCGCGATGACAGCAGTAATATAAACTATTTCAATGTTTAACGCACACGCACACAATATTAGACAAATATTAAAAGTGCATCATTAAAACAGTAACATACGGTAAGTATTTAATAGCAGGTTTCGATGTAGTCAAACTCGAGTTTGTGTAGAGTAGACGGCAATCAATCAACATAGACACCGCAAATTTAAACTGCGAATTTCACTTGGGAAAGCGCAGTTTCCAGAAAACGCTTCTTATTAACCGAAAGAAATATGTTCTCCGTTTACAAATCAAAAGAAAGTCGTCTCCCATGTGTGCATATGTATATATAAAGAGGCATTCAATATTTTACCACCGTCGCCGCCGTAAAAGGACTTTCTTCGAGCAGGAAACAAAAAATAATAATAATGGAGAACGGGAAGAGAAGTACTCTTTGTTCTTTCGCACTTTTACTCTATATAATTTAACAAATTGCTTCCACATAACACGAACAATCGTTTCCTGCCTTGTTACACTTTCATTGCGATCCGATAATTATTGATTTTATTATTCGTTACTGGTCGCAACTGTTGGCTGAAAATACGTTTATTTTGTATTTTCACTGCAATTGCATTTCGATACAAAAATGCCTTTTAATTGGGCTGTTTATGTTTCGATAAGGTTCAGTTCACTTTTTCGCTTCCTACATACTTCTTACCGTATACGTCGTTATCGCAGTGCGTTTTCGCGAATGCTCCGATACAGCTCAACCATAAACAAATAACAAACGAAAACACGGCAAAAGTCATTAAGTAAGTAACTCGAATTAAGTTTTAATGGATTCTACGAGTTAAATGAACGAAGAAGTTTTCCTATTTTTTGCGTTCGATTTACGCGTTACATCACGGCTGATGTACAGTTGGTGTACGTACGAACATGGCCGTATTTCCGGTCGGTCGGGGCGCGCGAACGCGATTGCAATACGATGTGAAGCGATGCAAGCGGAATTCCGTTTTCGTTAAGAAATTGCCTCGACGTGTTTCTGCAATCTAATATCAATTAGGAAACGAAAGCAGCTCTCGCATCGAATTCTAATCGGATCCACATAATATGCTCGATCATTCAAGAAACCGCTGTTGGATGTTTTCATTTCGTTGCAGAGATTAGATAGCGCCGTTCGCTTATATCAAATGCCATTCAAATGGTCGCATATCTCTCTGTTCATTGTCTATTCATTTTATATAATCAATCTTAAAGTTCAATTAATTATTAATTATTGATATATTTTTTATTTACATTAAACTTATATATGTATATAACATTATGATAGTATTTTAATTTAGACTCTGATGTATAATAATAGACGGAATCCGTGGTGCTGCAGGTGCACACAAACCAAGTTGTTTTTTATTTATATTGAAAGCTGAAATATATTTTTTTGCAAGAGCCCTAAATTCGAATTTACCTAATAAATTTATTCCAAATAAATTTGTCCAAATTCAAATTTGTCTGAGTTCTCCAAATAAAAATAACTTTACATGTATGCGACCCGTATGCGAACAAAACACCTCTCATAACGAGTAATTCGGATAACGAGCAAAACAAATTTTAAGAAAAATGACTCGCTCCACACTAAAAAGTGTTGTTTTGAGGGGATTGAAGGGACTAATCTCACTCTCAGAGAGTTTTGGAAATACCACATCGTTGCCTGTCTTAAGATAATCGAAAACTCGTGGGAAGGTGTTACCAAAAAAACCCTCACTTCTGCTTGGAAGCAACATTGGCCTGAGAGCGTTGTCTCCACGAAATTGTGTCTTTGGTCAAGATCATGAGGCTGGATGGTAAATAACAATGATATCGGAAGAGCTGACCACCAAAGATCATATCGAGCATTATCGTAGTTGCAGAAGGAAGTCCCAAATTGCGCGCTGGCTACATCATTTTTAAAACTTGTGTACACATGTTATGTGTGTTTTTGAATATGTTTCACAATACGAGTAAAAATCCGAAAATTTTGGATTCAACTCGTTAAGCAATCGTTATTAAAATTGTATGCATATTTTAGAAAAAGTCATAAAAGATAATAGCGATATGATAATGTTAACCTTGAGAAATTATATAACAAAGTTCGAAAGGGTGTCAAATTGACACTCGGTACCTCTAGTGTAAATGTTTTTGACGTGTTTGGTTCTGAACATGAATTATTGTTGTTTTTCTATGGTACTTTTTATGCGTTTACAGTTTATCTACGTTTATTAATTTATTTTAATTATAAATTGAACTTGAATAGTTTTCACAAAAGTTGTTACTTTATATATATAAAAATAAAACGTGCTAAATAAGATTTACGTCGAGAAAGAAAGACTGATGTCAGGCTATCCAAATTAGTTTCAATAGAAATGTTTCAATAAATTAGTTTTATAAATGTAATAACTAATCTCTATTGTTGAAACAAAAACAAAAAAAGCTATTTTCGTTTGAGTGTATTGAAAACACATTTATAGTGGATAATATATAAAGTGAACGAACATGTCACACTTGAGTATTTTGAGTAACTTTTTTTTAAATAAAAAGCTGATAAGATTAACAAATGTATTAATTACATATTTTGTTTATATAAAAAAAAATCTGAATTCAATGTATCAATGTTAAATATGTTTGTTTTTTTGATTATTTCAGGATTATCAGAATTTTATTTTTAATACATGATTTAAAATCTGACCTTTGCCCCAAATTAGTGCCAATAATAAGAACATTTGTAAAATCTGAAAATTACTATATTTTAAAATTTTACACAAATGCAAATACTTATGTCCTTTTGTCAATTCCAAAAAAGAAACAATTTTCTGTTTGTCCATAAAAAAAGAACCAAATATAAATAATGCAAAAAAAAGAAATCAAAATGTGCATGCAAAAAAGTAAAAGATTTTTGCCAATTTGTCTTGTTCTTTTCATAAATAGATACAGATCACGTATGAATCTCCTTTTTTTGAGTTTTTATCCATTGATTTTGAGTTCCGTTTTTCGATTGTCTGGAAGATTTTTAGAATTGTTTGTTTATTTCGGAGAGAAGTTGAGATGATTGTGTAAGTCCTAGAAATTATTTTATAATTGTCTTTGTCTATTTATTATGAAAGGTATATTATAACATTTACCCAATATGAAAAATTTGATTAGAATCTGACAGATAATAGAAAGTGATAAGCAAATGACATTTCTTTGAGTTTTATTATAGTCTACAGAGATTGATGATTTTCATTATCTTTCGCACATGATTTTCTTGGTGACAGTAATGTTAGATTGACTAACAATATAACAAACATCAAAACGACTAATAGTATGAATTATATTACTTCAAGACTTATTGAATTATTATCAAACATAAGCATGCGTTCTGAATAGTGCATATTTTATTTTCTTAACCTCAAGACTTTTTTACATCTCACTCCACCCATTTACGGGCTTAGTATCCATCAATATGCGTTCGTGTGAACCTTGTATATTGGTATCATGGATGGTATCATGGGTGTTACATGTTTTATTCAGACATGTTAGATGGTTTATTAGAAATGATATTAAGCTTCATAATAAATACTCGTTTACTAGCCTTGTGTGAGTTTATTACAAATAAAAATAATATTAGAAAGATGGCTAACCCTTTAAATATAAAAAAATATATGTGAAAATGTCAGAGTTTAAAAAACACGGGTTTTATTCACTTCTCAAAATGATATTAATCATATATTTGTCAAAAATAATTTTAAATAACGGATACATCATTTTGTCACTATTTTTTTGTCGTTACCATGTAATGAAAATATTAGTAAGTCAAAAAAATACTTGTTGCTATTAAGAGAAATCTAATTATAGCTTGAAATAATATAGCTCTAATTACATCATTCAACTGATAAAATATAAAGCGATATAATATCATTGTCGGAGATGATTGTCATGTTTGTAAACTCTACTAATGGAATGTGTGCTTTAAACTGTCATTCAAGTTATGCAAATTCAAACCGACTAATGAGAAAATATTCAATTTGTCATTCCTCTTTTAAACTCAGTTTTGATTGCTGATAATTTATTTGGACGCCATCATTGCTATTTTAAAAGAAAAAAATTGCGAAAACCTTGTTTATAATGCATTTATATAGGTCTACAGATAACATCCAAGGATTTCCTCTATGCATTGTTTACTAGATAAACCACCGTACATAATTTTACTAATTAAATCAAAGAAAATCTCATTTCAGATATATCTACAACTGAGAAAATCGTCCTAATCACAATAAATATGCATGTTTTTAACAAAATTCACGCAATTTGAGCTTATTTATATCAGTCAGATGGGAATCTAATCTTATCATCGACTTAGATAAAGCGGTAAGCAAAATTATTTCAGTCCCTTGTACTTCATGCGCCTAAACACTTCACGCCAATTAACAACAGACTGAAAAGAGCGCAGACAAAAGTTAATCCACGTATTTGTATAAAACATCGTTTCCCGCTTTCCCCGTTTTGGTAAATATTTATGTTATTTAATTATTGGTAATCTATGTAGATAGGATTAGTCGAATCTGCGTCAATCGATTGCAATTTATGTTTTTCGCTCGTCTCATTTAATTGCGTTCGTCGAAAGAACAGCAGAATCCTGCTGCATGCAGAAAATAGTTTAGAACGCGGATTTTGCAAACGGCTATTATGCAATCGATATTTTGTAATTTCGCAACACCCACATTTGTATTATAAAATAATAATCTGTCATCTCGCGATAAGATTGTATCTTTTATTGTGTTCGATTGGAATGATAGTAACCGATTCATATCGTATTGTTTCATGTGAAGAATAAGGTGTTGAGGTCGCGGCATGGAGATCTCTTTGAAGGACCGCGACAAGGTCGGAGTGCAGGATGCCGTGCTTCTGGAGGACTTCAACTCGTCAGAAGTCTTCGTAAATAACTTGCAGAAGAGATTCAATGAAAACCTAATTTACGTGAGTGTTTGCAATGATATTTTTGCGAAATTCGTTACGTGTTGATTTTTGTAGACGAACATTGGACCGGTGCTGGTCTCGGTGAATCCCTACAAAGATGTGGGTATCTACTCATCGCAGTATGCCAAAGAATTCCATAAGAAACACTTTTTTGAGACGACACCTCATATGTGAGTAGCGACGGCTAAAGTTGCGATATGAATCTATTTAAAAATATATTATTATTCCGGCAGCTTCGCATTGACGGATACAGCTTACAGATCTTTGATTGAAGAGAACAGAGAACAATGTATCCTTATTTCTGGTAACGTTACTTTGATGTCTTGACAATATGTTAACTGTGTCCACTTTTTCGTACAGGTGAATCTGGAGCTGGAAAAACGGAGGCTTCTAAGAAGGTGCTCCAGTACATCGCCGAGGTGACAGGGTCCAAGGGTCAAGTGGAGAAGGTGAAGAATAAGCTTTTCCAATCGAATCCCGTGCTCGAGGCATTCGGAAATGCCAAAACCTCTCGCAACGACAACTCCAGCAGGTTCGGAAAGTACATGGACGTCGAGTTCGATTATGAAGTTTGTTCGCGCTAAACCTAACATGATCAGTCCTTAATGAAATTAACGTACGCAGGGAAACCCAGTGGGAGGAAACATTCTGAATTATCTTTTGGAGAAATCGCGAGTAATCAACCAGTTCAATGGTGAGAGGAACTTCCACATCTTTTACCAACTTCTTGCAGGCGCCAGCGATACCATGCTCAACGATCTGCTGCTTAAGCGGAACTTAGAGTCATACTATTACCTTAGTCATAGTGTAAGTTAAATCATCAACATCGAATACAATATCTATATTCTGATATCTTCGCAGCAAAAGGGAACATGCAACAAAGAAAAAAGCGCGTTCGAGGAGCTCAACAAAGCCCTGACCATCATCGAGTTCACAGCCGAGGAGCAAATTGACATTTTTAAGATTATCGCCAGCATTTTGCATTTAGGTAACATCGGCTTCGTCGAAGAGGAGGGAATTGCTTCCGTCAACAATAACGAGTCAATCGATGCCGTCTGCAAAGTATATCTTTAATTATTCAATATTGATCACCAAATTCATAACAATTTATTGCATTTTAGCTTTTGAATTGTGATAAAGAAGAACTAAAGAACGCTTTGACCCACAAAACCATCGACGCGAAAGGAGATGTAGTGACCAGTCCCTTGGATCGTGAGACCGCCATTTATGCCAGAGACGCTTTGGCTAAAGCCATCTACGACAAACTCTTCACTTGGTTAGTCCAGAAGATCAACAGTTCTCTACAGGCCAATACCCAAAGAAAGAACTCCGTTATCGGAATACTGGATATTTACGGTTTCGAAATATTCCAAAAAAACAAGTAAGTTTTGATTATTTCTCTTAAAAACACACCCAATATATTTATACTAATACAATTGCTAATACAATTTATTGCAACTTCAAATATTAATAATACATAATTATTTACATATATATATTTTTTATTAATTTTATAAACTTATTAAATTATGTTCGAAATACCGGTTTTTTAAAAAAGAAGTTACAAAAATTTGATAATAATGTGATAATAGAAAATCGTTAGAAATAAATGGATAATTTATCATCCTGTACCTTAAGGACGTTCAATGTTCATAAATGCACATAATTTACTTGTTTATCAACGGTTATTAATTTGGTTATATTATCAAAATTATCAGTAAATATTTTCAATTCAATTATAGATACAGAATGCCATAATAGAGAATATAAATCATTTACACAAAACGATAAATGCCCATATTTGTATTACACAATTTTAGGAGTCAAATAAATAAGTGCGCAATTTAAATGCTTAATAATATTTGTAGAAACAAGTTTTATATACTTGTTTGTAATTACATCAACCTTCTATAAATTTCATATATATTTATCTATGGTGCATACTTCTATTGCTTAATAATAAATTACGTTTCAGATAATCGTAATATTCAGACAAATTCTAATATCTAAACTTTTAAATTTGTTTTAGTTTCGAACAGCTTTGCATCAATTTCTGCAATGAAAAATTGCAGCAGCTTTTCATTGATTTGACACTAAAGCAAGAGCAACAGGAATATCTCAAGGAGGGTATCGAGTGGCACAATATCGATTATTTTGATAATAAGATCATTTGCGATTTGTTCGAGATGAAGTTCAAAGGCATTATCTCCATCATGGACGAAGAATGCCTGGTGCCTGGAAACACAAACGATTTGACCTTGCTGAAGAAACTAAACAAGAACCTGCAAGGACACAAGCACTTCAAGGGCTTCAACAAAATGCTCAAAAAGCAGATGAAATTTGAAAACAATGTAAATTAGTTATAGTGTTATAGTACTCACTTGTAAGTAAATTGTAATATGAATTCGTTGGCTTTTCAGGAATTCCAAGTGATTCATTACGCCGGACCAGTGGTCTATAGCGTGAAAACTTTCATCGAGAAAAATAACGACTTGTTATTTAGAGATTTGCGCTACGCAATGTCCAATTCCCAGCACAGCATCATCAAAAACATTTTCCCGAAAAGCGAGGTGATGTCCATGAGGCTACCAGAAACCGCATTCACCAAGTTCAAGAAATCCGTCAACGATTTAATGAAGATTTTAATTGATAAGGAACCCAACTACATTCGCTGTATAAAGCCCAACGACGATAAACGACCATGTAACTAGTTTAAAATAGAATTATGTATAATATTTACATTGCTCTTTATTCTATAGCATTTTTTGATGTGGACATCGTGAGTCATCAAGTAACATATTTGGGATTGATGGAAAATTTGCGTGTGCGAAGGGCAGGTTTCGCGTACAGAAGAAGCTACGAGTCGTTCTTGAAGAGGTACAAGTGTTTGTGCAAGCAGACTTGGCCACATTGGCACGGCAACGCCAAAGACGGAGTTCAACAATTGATCTGTTCACTCGGCTTCGAAAATGATGAATACAAGATGGGCAAAACTAAAATCTTTATAAGATACCCTAAAAGCCTGTTCCAAACCGAGGATGCATTCCAAAGGAAGAAGCATGATTTAGTGTCCGTCATCAAAGCTACATGGAAAGGATACAAGCAACGGCAAGAGTACAGAAAGCTCAAGTTGGCTTCGATCGTTGTCCAAAAGTGGTATAGAAGGTACCAAGCCCAGAAGGCCATTAAACGTAGGAAGGCTGCCGTGGAAACAGTGCGAAGGTAAGATCTACGTACCTACATAGTTATGACATATTTTGAAAGTTATTCTCTATAGATTCATTAAGGGATTCATCACTCGCAACGGGCCCGAAACTGAGATTAACAAAAAGTTCGTCGCTTTAGCAAAGAAGCATTGGTTAATAAGATTATCCAAGAATCTGCCGAACTCTGTCTTAATCAAGTACTGGCCACCTCATCCAGTTAGTTGCAATGAAGCGTCCAAGCTGATACAACATTATCACATGCTGCACTTGAGTAGAATTTACAGAAAGAATTTAACTGCTGAAAGGAAACAGCAATTTGAGCTCAAAGTTCTCGCAGAGAAATTGTTCAGCGTAAACGGTAAATTTAATTAATATTTTCGGCAATATCCTAATCACATATATACGTTCAGGTCACAAGAAAAGCTACAAAAACAGTATTCCGCAATGGTTCAAAAATGAACGCATTCCTAGCGAACAGGAAGAAGCATACAAATTGTTTAGCAAGTCTTTGAACGGCGAGAGAATCATGTATTCGACTTCGGCAGTGAAATACGACAGGCACGGATACAAAGCAAGAGACAGAATTTTGATTGCTACCACGAAACACGTTTACATTATCGAGACCAAGGGAAACTCTTATACGCAAAAGCACGGATTACCACTGAACGTAGTCAACCTACTGGTTACGGCCCAAAAAGATAAAGTGCTTCTAGTCCAAATTCCAGAAGAAATGATCAAAAAGGATAAGGTATTGCATTGTCAAAATAATAATAGATAGTTAAAGCTAAGAGCCGTTTCTTACAGGGAGATTTAATCCTGGAGATTCCTCAGCTGATCGAATGCGTAACTAAAATCGTAAGCTTTACCAAAAATGAAAACATGCTCAGCGTAGTAGATGAGAAAGTGTAAGTATTAACTGTAACTTGACATAAGTCACATAAAATACAATGATTGTTATTAGGATTGAGCACAACATGAAAGGAAAGCCCGGAATTATCGAGGTTACTGTTGGTAATCCAGAAACCATACAGAAAGACAAGCCCACGGGTCATTTACTCATCGTAAGTACATTGATACTATTAACTAATTCACGTCATAACCGCTTGAAAGTTATGGAACTTTCATGCGCACTAAATAATATTCAAATATAACATATTACCTCTCATAATTTGAAATGTACATTGAATTTATTTATTCACAAATGAATGATTATCAAATGACAAGCGTTAGTTAATTACACTGCTGTTAGTATATGAGATTCTAATAAAATATCGTTAATTTCAGAGAGCAACACCGTAATTCCAAACTGAAGCAATGAGATTCACGGTTCCGCAGTGCCTTCACAAACTCAGTGCCATTAATTATAGATAATTAAACCTACCTGATCCTACTTCCCCCACACAATTGAAAGTTTTTACAATGTATAAATTTACATTTATTTATCATATATTTTGTTACAAACAGTTCATACATATAATCTAAGCAATAATTAATTCAGTCAATGTGCAACACATTTTATATAAAATTGATGCAGTTTAGCAACAATTATTTAAAGAAAACAGATTAGATTATAACTTTAATATTTATTTTATGTGCAATTGACTTTAATAAATATTATTTAAATATATTTTGTGTTTTTAACTTGTGGGTGTAAGATTGTGCTTGACAACAGCCTCCTGTGCTTTTGATAAGTTTGTTTTGGTTTTTGATCTTTCTCTGATCTCATCCTCGGCAGCCCTATTCACAGTCTTTGTGATCACCTTTTTCAACTTCTGGATTTCCTCATTTTTATTCTTTTTAGCTTGAATTGGTTTCCCTGCAGATGGAAATTCTATTAAATCTGTTTAAAATAAAAATAATATATGTACTTACTCGAACGTGGCGTTGTCGCATTTCCCTTCTTCTTGTTTTTGTTCTTTGAATTATTCGGAACGTTGGTTTTCACTTTTAGCTTCCCTTGAGCCATCGTAGCAACAAATAAGCCAATTAGTATTAAACTGGATACACAAATGTGACACAACTTTTGAGGTTATGAATAAAAAAATACCAAATAGTTTTCTTTGGGTATTATATTAAAGGTTGGCAACAGTTGGCAACGGAATATCGGACTGTTTGGAACCATTTGGGTAATTTCGAGATTTTGTTTGCATGAGTTAGGGGTACATCAGTTACTTGATTTACATTTTAGGCATTGACAAGTGTTGAATAATTAATCATCCATTCTATATAATTATATTTATGTAAAGCACAGTTATTAATTTATTAAATGTAAGTATCGTATATACTGCCATTTGTTAAATCTTGAATAATAAGCAACAGTATATCATATTGAAGTTATGTAGCTTTGTTTTGGTTTAAAGTTGGTCCTCTGAGATGCCCCTCATCAGCAGTGCTTAATAGTTCATAAGAAAACTTTTGTTTCATTCTGAGAATTATAAGCAAGTAAGTAATTTTCCTTTAACAATTTGTTTTAATTAACAAACTACTTGTTTAAGGTCATTTTGTTCTCCATAGTGTGCAATAGTTCATTGGAAAATTTTGTTTCATTCTGAGAATAATAAGCAAGTAATGCCAAATATTATGGAAGATCAAGAAATGGATGTTGTTAATATTCATGAAAATCACTATATGGTTGAAAATGATAATTTAAATACTAAAAAACGAAAAAAGATCAGTACAATGATAAAAAATAGCAGAACGACACTATATAATAGAGTTTATTTAGAAAAAAAATAGGGAATATAAGGCAGAATATTGAGAATTGAAAATTTTAGATGAAAATTTACAAAACTGTCTTATAAACCAATTACAGAATGCAAGAAGGAAAATTAGAGGAGAATACTATTCTGCAGAAGGCAAAGTATTGGCTTTATGTATTTTTCAACAAAGCAGATGCTCCTATAAATATTTGTCTCACATCCGACAATTACTACAGTTGAGAGCTTTAATGGTAGGATCAGAATAAATCCTGGATTAAATGATTGCATATTCAAAACACTAAAGACACATATTACTGACAATAGTAGCATTGAAGAAATGCTTGTCACCTTAATTTTCAATGAAGTGTCGATAACTCCACATTTGGACTATTTACCTAGAAGTGGTTTTGAGGATGATGGCTCTGAAAGAACTAACAGAATAGCTGATCATTCTCAAGTGTTTATGATTAAAAGCATATATAAAAAGCGGAAATTTCCTGTAACATAGTTTTACTCAGGAAACTAAATCCACTATAATAGTAAAATTTATAAAATAAATTGTAAGTAGATTAACAGAAATATTAACAGTCATAATCATAAAATGTATGAGAAACAATTTGTTGAATAAAGATTTGAAATTTAATGTGGAAGGAGAGGATTACACTGCCAGTTGGGAAGATATTCAAACTGCATATTTCATTGTTGCACCAAAGAGGACAACAAGAAGATTGATGCATAAACTTACTGCAAGGCATGTATTTCCTGAAAAAAAAATACCAATGATGAAACTTTTCAAAGCAGTGCAAGTATTTAGTCAGTCAGCAAGTGCATCAATGGAATTGTTTATTATAGGGAACATATCTTGTCTAAATGGAAGACACTTTTCAGCGAATTCATTATGTGCTATGTGGGTTTTTAAATGAATTGTTTGACAGTTTAAATCTAGAAATATTAAAAGACAAAGATAGGAATTTAATCAATTCAGTTACTATGAAATCTAAACATTTACAACAATGGTATGAAGCCAAAGAAGCTATCAATGGAATGAGATTTGTAAACAATGTTAATTGTTGCCCAAATTCGAATGTCAATTTTCAGAGAACTCAGTTTTATAAACATTATTGTAGACAGTGGCACAGACAAATCTAAACTAGATGATATTTTAGATTCACCAGATCTCAAAACAGAGATTGATAATTTCCTAAATGCAGAAAAAAACTGGAAAAATCATAGACGTTGAAGCTATAATCAGGACTGCCCTGTGAAAATTAGTGAACAATAACAAGACAACATCCCCTAACAATAACATGTTCTCCGACGAGGATACAGGTCCATTCATTGTTGTGGCTGAACCCATCGATCCACACACTAACCTACTAAGCTCTGTCTCCTTAGGATATAAACTTAGCCGTTCATTTAAAAGAGTAATCTCCACCGTGGAAAGCAGAGGCAAAAACAGGGCTGCCATATACTTCAACAACTGCACTACAGCAAGCTAATTTTTCACCTCAATCTTTTACACAAAAGCTAAAATAAAGAGTTTCCACATATTAACGGATTTATTTTTTCTAGTTCCCCCCAACGAATTTATTAACTAGCAACTGAAACTGAATGTTCCCTGCTTCCAAGAGTGATGAAGTAGGAGGAAGGGAAAAATTTAGTTTAAAAATGGTTTTTCAACACATAGAAACATTTTTGGATCTTCAAAGTATATTGATTGTGGATTGTATAAAGTGTCGGAAGTTGGTTTAACATTCCAACCAACTTCCGACACTATACACTCCACAATCAATATACTTTGAAGATCCAAAAATGTTTCTATATGTCAGCTTCTGTTTGCTTAAGTCATTTTTAATTCTTGTGTCATCTTCATTTTTCAGCATAAGTCATTAAGTTCTTGTATATATGTATTGTCTCTTTAATGTATTTGTGATTCTGAAGGTAGCTCATACCGGTCTCACTAATTTATAATAAGCTAGATATACTTCTTTAAAATAATAAAAAAATATTAAATTTATTATTTATCGACCAGCTAAAAAGGTCCAGCAAACGTACGTAAAAGAGAAACTAAGGTTGAGGAAGATTTGGCAAACCACCTACCATCCGGATGATAAAACTCGCCTGAATAGAGCTAATAAACAACTCAGGAACTTATCTTGGTGGTCTGTCTAGAACTAGAACTAACGAACACTCACTGTGGAAGGCGACCAAGCATATGAAACAACCGAAACAGAGAGTCGCCCCTTCGACAACCAAAGAGAAGGCGGAGGTGTTTGCTGACCATCTAACAAACGTGTTCCAACCTTTCCCGGCAAGACTTGCAGTGGAAGAGGAAAACGAGATAATGGAATTTCTGGGGTCTCCATACCAAATGTCACTAACTATACTAGAGTTAAAGCTAAAAAATCGCCAGGATATGACCTGATTACAGCAGAGGTCTTAAGGCAGCTCCCCAGTATCGGCATTAGGGTAATAACGCTTATCTTCAACGCAATCCTGAGACTCGGTATATTTCCATCACAGTGGAAGGTAGCCCATATAATACTCATCGCCAAACCTGGATAACCAACTTCATATAGACCAATCAGCCTCTTGCCGGTACTGTCTAAACTGTTCGAGAAGCTGTTGCTGCGAAGACTGAAGCCCTGGCTGTTGGATATTCATCTCATTCCGGAACACCTGTTCGGATTTCGTGAGCAATATGGCACTGTGGAACCAGGTGCATCGTGTGGTGGATGTGATTGGCAAGTCTTGAGAAGAGGTACTGCTCTGCCGCTTTCCTCGACATCTCACTGGCGTTCGACCGAAGTGTTTCTGGACCCTTACTCTATTTGATCTTTATGGCTGATCTACCAACTCCTCAGCACGCCACTATAGCCACATTTCCTGACAAACGTCGACAAACTTGTCCACCCGTTACACTGAATGGCAGTGCCCTACCACAGGCTGATGATGCTAAGTATCTTGGCATGCATCTGGATCGTCGACTCACCTGGAAAAAGCATATTACGACAAAAAGTAAACAGCTGGGACTGACAGTAAAAAGTTTGCATTGGCTGATGGGTAGATACTCATCCATCTCAGCGGAAAACAAAGTTTTAATACATAAAACGATAATAAAACCGATATGGACTTATGGATTACATCTATGGGGATCTGCTTGTAATACAAGTATTGACATCATACAGCGGTTCCAGTCAAAAATGCTCAGAGCAATTGCCAATGCTCCCTGGTTCTCGACTAACGAATACATTAATCAATACACTGGAGTCCGATTTGTGAAGTATGAGATAACGGAACTCAGCAGCAAATACCAACATCGGCGAAGGACCATCCAAACCAACTTACCTCTGAACTTACACACACTGAATCTCATCGACGAAGATTGAAACGATTCAAACCACAGAACCTCCCTAATCGCTTTTAAAGTTACTGTTAGTGTCTAAATTAACAATAAGACTTGTTTGCGTGTATGTGTTCGTGAGTTTTTACAGGCACTCTGTGGAGTTTGGTCGCTGGATCGATCTCCAAAATATATTTTTAATTTTTCTCATTATTAAGCCCAGAACTAGAGCATGTTATCTGTTTTTCTATTTTTGTAGATAGATTGCTTTGTAAATAATAAAAAAAAACAAAAATTTAAAATGGAATGGAAGATCCAAAATATGTAATTAATAGAATGCACTTTCTCAATAAACAGAAAAGAATGATTTGCAAAACAAAAACATTTTTTTAAATAATAGATTTATAAAGATGGCAAATAAAAAAATCTTCAAATATCGATCTGGTGGTCATTTCCTCTTTGGACCGTGCACTAATGCATATATAATAAAAAAAATATTATACTCGAAAACTACTATTTTTTGCGTTTCGAATATGTAAATAATTAAATTATTATTTTGAATAATATATCGTGCCCAGGATATTCCTCTGGACACTGTGGAATACTTTGTAGTATTGTCGATGTGGAGGTCTAGTGGGTTTTATGGAAGAGACTAGATTAAAGTCAGTGTAATAATAGTATTTATTTAACACTTAGATGCTTGTGATTCCTAATCTAGCTTCCAGTTGCTACAAGCATAGGTTCTTCCTAGTACTAATATGTAAGAAGACGTCCTGAATACGAATCATATTCTAAGGGTAGGGGCTAATTTCGTCATAGGTGCCGGCGGAGATTTGTTTATGTCTCCCGCTGTCGATAAGGTCTAAAAGTGATACATCTTACAATTGTTTGGGGAGGTTAATTTTGGGTGGCATAGTTTTTATAGTTACCTGCCCGATTTTCAAATAGTGCCCCCTTCAAGAGGGTGACACAAACTAACAAAATATGAGAAACAGAGCATTTCTTCAAAACGGTTTTATTACTCTAGGCCAGTGATTCCCAAAGTGGTCTATATCGACCTCCAGAGGTCTATGACAACCTGCAAGGGGTCTACGTCAGCGAAAAAAAATTTGGGGGTCCATGAAATGAAAATGGGGGTTCACGATAGTGGATCTTAACATACACAGATAGTACCTATTTAGTTACATTATACTATCTTATAATATAAAGACATATACATTATTTATAAAAGTACCTATGAAGTACAAACATTATTATAAATGTTTATAAAATTGTGTAAGTTGTAAGATGAAGGCATTCGCTTTGTGGTCGCAATACATTTTGAACTTGTAAAAACCTGAACATAATGATATACCATTATCATCTTGTTACAAGCATACGCGCAGTCTCAGAGCAAAGATCTTAATAATTATAAAGATGCCCCAATATAAATAATAAATTTACAAAAAATCTACCCAAAACCGAAAAACATCGCAAGGGGTCCACGACACAAAAAAGTTTGGGAACCTCTACTCTAATCGGATGCTTCAAGTGCCGATAGGCTTGTTTATATCAATAATTAATAATAAAGTGGTTGGCCACAACAAAGTTTAGAATCGCCCAAAGATTGCAGTCATGTATTTTGATATTAGAAGTAGTCATAACTCGGTTAACTTTACCTATGGCTTGGATTTAACGAAGTCCGCATTTTCAAGCTCTATTAATCACTTCTGACTTAAAGTATTGTCAATTTTATTTTTAAGAAAAAGCTTGCGGTTAATCGGTATTGTTCCGATTTTAAGTCTCCAGTTTCGGTGTCCCAGCCAGATCTTTCGGGACATTCTAAGTTTATTTCTGATATCTGTTTTTGTTTCAAAATAATGCATTATACAAATATATAATCAGTATTGTCAACACAGTTTGTATGATTTTTAAATATGTATATGTAAATATTCAAGTTGAGTTCTGAGATTGTTTTGTTTTTGTTCTCTTTAGCTGGTCATTGTATACTATCAGGGCGTTATAGCATTATTCACCTTCGTCGAACACTGAATATAAAGAGAAATAATAGTTAAAACGTTTTGGAATAAATACACCATTAACAAACCCAATTGTAAAACACTCATAAAGAAGTCACTAAGAAATGCTTAAAGAATAGTGCAAAATAATGTCATAAATTACATTAGCAGAAGAAAATAATATTCAAGAATTTATATATGAATATATCGCGAGTAAAAAACTAGAAACTAGAAGACTTTCTGTTCTGAACATAATATGAGATTTCAAAAATAAACAACGCTTAATCCAAATTACTGTTTTTTAAAGACGATTGAAATGTTACCTAACAGAATATATATGTATGTACGTTTTTAACAATTTTGATATTAAGCATTGCCAACGCTACTTAGTGAAAATCTACACAAATTTCCGGACAACCGAATATTTTGAGACCTACAACATTATTATTTAATTTACATAATTTTTAGCTTAGAAATGAAACATCTTCAAAGTTGAATCGTCTTCTGGAAGGGATTGTCTTCGAAGGTCTGCTATATTTGGTTTGACAAAGGTAACGGGTAATAAAATGTTTAGAATAACTAGTAAAAAAAAACACCATACATTCAAAATAGATACGTATATTGTATAGTTCTGTGTATATTTTTGTATATTATTAATTTGCATGTTTATGAATATATACATTATCTGATATAAAGGTACATATTAGTTTAATCGACGATACAGAACAATAAAAATAGTACGTACATGTAAAATTTAAATAAACATGTATTTAAAATAAATATATAATCCTATGTAGACGTCGGATATAATATTTGTAAAAAAAAAATGTAGTAAGGCTTTCCTTGTGTATAACAGGTACGTAAATATACATTACAATGACTAAAAATAATACACTGTCCGATGATTTATCGAAGTGCTTGATTGACATTTAGAATTTGGCGAGCTGTAGGAGAGCATATGCGGCTATGATTTTTTCGCTCACCTCGCTTTTGATCTCGTTACAATCATCAACATCTTCATCGTCATTGACCTGGTTCCTGAAGTTTCTTTTGGCTGAATCAGTACCAATGGTCTTATTAAAAGCCGCCCTAAGCTGCTGCATCTGATGCGAGTATTGGTAGTAACCGCTAGACTTTTCCAAATCCTCCATCAACGATTCGCAGCATTCGATCAAGGATTTAGCGCAACGGCCTCTGCATAAAAACAAACAAAAAAACGTATACAATAATTAACTTAATCAGAATGCCCACAGTGTCATTAATTATTTATAAAGCTTTTAAGCAATTAATATTACAAATTCGATGATACGAAAGGAAATATAAAATTAGAGCGATTTAGATATGCAAATTTGAAGGCGGCGGCCCCACCGAAAGACTCGCGTATATATTCCAGGTGGCTCTTCCATGAAGTCGTCAGACACATAGCCAAAATGTACTCTCTCGAAGTTCTATCGTGTGTTTTCCTCAGTTTCTTTCTAAGTATCGAAGGTATTCAAATAATTTGGGACAATGATGCAAAAGTTAACTACAACGACATAGACTTTGCAAGAAAGGAAGAGGTTCGGATGCCGAATTGGCTCTTCATCTATCCAGGTAAATTTTACAATACTTTAAAATAGATCTACAAGATGCAATTCCAGGAACCAAATGGTGTGGTGCCGGTAATGTTGCAATGAATTTCGACGACTTGGGCGATTTCGCACGAACAGACAAGTGTTGCAGAGCACACGACAACTGTGACGATTCAATTGAAGGCTACCAAACCAATCACAACCTGACCAATACAGGCTTCTATAGCAAGTTAGTATATTTTAAACAATAAGATGAAAAATAAACAAATTGCATATAAATAAGTGAATAAACAAACAAAATATAATTCTCACACAATATTTATAGAACTACGAAAATTAATTTAATTTATAAAAATATTTAATTTAATTCTAAAATTTTAGATTGAGTTGCGGCTGCGACGAGAAATTCTTCCAATGCCTAAAGTCGGTAAACACGCGTGATTCTAAGATCATAGGTGGCATTTACTTCAACGCCTTGGGAACGCAATGCTTCAAAAGCGATTATCCCATCAAGAAATGTACCAAACAAGTCTACTTCCCGTAAGATATATTTTATTAGTTGTTGCAGACCATACCAAAATAATAAATATTTTCTAGATCCAAGAAATGCGTCAAGTACGAACTGGACGTTACCCAAGAAAAAGTTTACCAGTGGTTCGATATTCCTATATTTTAAGTAACAAGCAACGATTACTTTTTCTTTGGTTGAAAATATTATGATTTGTATCTGTATTAACGATTTCTTGAAACCATAATATTTATTATACAAAATGTTAATAAACAAATTGCATTATTGAAATATGTGATTTACTTACCAATAACTCTTATGCTATTTTTAAACTAAACGATTGTATTTTGCTAAATTGTATGTATTTATTAAAATTATGCGCACATACTTGGTATGTAATATTTGTGCATAAATTTAAGATTGCAATAATTACCATTATATTTTTTTTATTATTACTAAAGCAATCTATCATCTGACATAGATATCAAGCTTAATGCTTAATGAAAAGAAGATCCAGTAATCCCACTTCACATATACAATTATTTATGCACTTGCAAACATTGATTTATTGATTATTAAAATCGGTTGGGTAAGTCTTGCGGTTTATACCTCTTCAGTCTTCGACGTTGATCTGCAGTATGCATCAGCTCCGTAGCCAGTTGATTTGAGTGATTCTCTAGCCGATGATGGTAACTTGTGCTAGGCTTTGGTATTTCTTCCTTGACGAAACTGATATTAGCTTGCTTATGGATGTCATCGTTTGTGAAGAACCATGGAGCATTGGTAATTTTCCTCAGCGTTTTGGACTGGAATCTCTATATTATATCAATACTGGTGTTACAGGCAGATCCCCAAAGCTGAATGCCGTAGGTCCATATCGGTTTTAGAATAGCTTGTCCTTATTTTTTTCAGAAATAAAATTAATTTGTAGTATTTGTTATTTTCGCAAGCTGTAGTTTTTTTAAACATTATTTCAATACGATCAAAACAAAATATTGATTGTGATTTGATTGCATCAAGATTGATCCTATTGATAAGATCAGGTAATGTAGTTTTCGGTACTCAAAGAAAAATTTTAATCGCATTCGTGTATCGGTTATCAAGAATGAAACTAGTTCATTATTATTTCACAATTTCGATAATCGCTGGTGCATCCACAGCGATCAATCTCACCGAGTTCTCTCAACACCTTGAGCTGTATCAGGCGGCCAATACTAAACCAGAAGTGCTATGGCAAGCTATTTTCCCAGGTGAGAAAGATAAAAAGAAAACTAAAAATGTCCCGTTATACTAATTGATACATGTCAGGTACAAAGTGGTGCGGTGATGGTGACATTGCGAAGGATTACGACGATTTGGGAACATTAGTCGAAACAGATAAATGCTGCAGAGATCATGACCATTGCAAATATTTCATCGTAGCCCATTCTACGAATCACGGTTTAACAAACGACGGAAAATACACTAAGTGAAGTTTATTAAATTCTCGCTGCTTGCATTTATTGTCATTTCAAAAAATATTTTCAGATTGCACTGCGATTGCGACAGCGAATTCTACGGATGTCTCAAAACCTCGAACATGTTCGCTTCGAATCTGGTCGGAAACTTGTACTTCAATGTGCTTGGAAATCAGTGTTTCAATTACACCCCGAAAGCGTATTGCATTACTTACTTGAACATTGAGTAAGCAAACTACAAAAAACATACATACAAGAATGTATTTAGACTTGTTTTTTTAGGAGGAAATCACGTTGCATTCAATACCTTTACGAGGATGGAGAGATGTTCTGGCAGTGGTTCGACATTGCGAAATATTAAAGTTATATAATTTATATAGAAAAAAACAAGCGAATAATTAATTACTGAATATTATTATATAAATATTTTTAAAATTAATTTATAACGGTAAATAACTTACCTTTTTCTTTTTATGATCTATATACTATATATACACAAAAATATATAGTCTTAACTCTAATATCCCAAAAGCCTAACAACACAGCGACTGAAGCGACACAAGCCACTGGATCTACCCTTGAGATAACCAGTTACGATAAATGTACCGAGTGTAATAAGTGTTTTCAAATAGTCTTTTGAAACTTATACTAAACTTACTTTTTCTGTACTGCATACATAATAATGTAATTTATAACGGCACTGATGACCATGATTCTCATCATCGAATACTGTTGCAGATCGCTATTCATTTTGAAGTTCATTTTGTGTATGTAGAAGATGGCGTTGGTTATTTGGTCTGAAAAAAACACTAAGTTTTAAAAATTATTTCTCATACACTCAATGCGCTAACCTTTCACCAGATAAACGGCAATTAACTTAACGATAACATAATAGTACTGCTTAAACTGGCTGAACAACAAAATATCGCACCGATTCAAAAATACAACCATCATATCCGAATCTCGGCAAGCTAAATCAAGTAATCGAATTAAATTTGCATTTTTCAAATTCACATAAAATACTCACTGTCCATGGCGGAAGACATGTTATATAATAATGTGCGTTTTTTGTCCAATTCCAAATCGATTCCACGGTAAACGCATTTAAAGCATTTCCAGCAATTAAAAAAGCGACCCATCGGTCCCATACATTTGGGACACTTGTACAGTTCCTCTGTGTACTGAAATTTAAAAAAAATATTCGGAACGCATTTCTAATGCATATTTTACTTACCCTCCAAAGGTGCTGCTCGGCACAAATGAAACAGTTGCATTTGATTTGTTTCTGCTTGAAGATATTCACCTTCTCAAGAATAGTTTGGAAACTATCCAAACCATTGACGTTCAATAAAATTTCCTCCCCAGCTTTGATATCCCTCAGAGCTTTGACGATGCAATAATTTCTGCGGTAACTGTAATTGTGATATATCATTAATTGCGATGATATTGCGATCTGCGAGAAAATAATACTTGATGAATACGTTCGGTAAGCAACTGTGTCGAATATTACAGGTATACACACATATGGCAGGATTTAAATAGTCAACTCCTCGAGTTTCTAGCAAGTAAGAGTAATCTTCCAAAGGCAAGAACACGGCGTTGACGCAGGCCTGCGCGTAATGTCGAACCAATAAACCACCCAAGTAAACAAACTTTTCCGTCACAGTACGCTTCTTCATAATGCGCATTTCACGCATGTTTGAAAATAATTCTGTATATTTAGATAAATAAACCATGATCTGCATTGATCTCTAAAAATATTGTGTAATTATTAATAATTGCATCAACAAAATTTGTCACATATTTTTTGGTAAACTACAAAATTAAGGTGCGTTTTATACTTGTGGAAATAGTGTACGTCATACAATTTGAATCTTTAATAAATAAATGGTGACAGTTTCATAACCGAAGAGGGCATTCAATTCTTCAAGTATGAGTCAAAGTCAAAGTGGGGATCGCAAAAAATATTTGAGGAGTCGGAGAAAAAAATGATGACAGACGGATTATTTTTCTACACATACCCATTCTTCGGGGGTCTGTTATAGATAGTATATCTAGTAGTTAGTATCTACAGAAATAGAATGACGTTCTATTTGTATAACACTTTGCTTAACTTTTGTACATTTTTCTTTGCAATACATAGTACTTAGTTATAATGTAATATAACGCATTGCTTAAATTTTATATATAATAATTTATTAATATGTAATCACTTTTAGCAAACTAAATTTCAACCATTATACTAATAATATAAATTCGAGAATTAAATTTAGAAGTAAGCAGTACCTTCAATAGTAAAATTATTCAATAATGAAATAATTCAGACAACTAAACAATAATTTGAACAATCTACAAAATGATTCAAAAGTTCAAAATTAGTTTGCCAACAATGAACAATATTAGCACTACTTTTAATATGAGATTAAAATATAGTTCTATTTTTCCAGATATCCATAAAATATCACTTACATTTAATAGCTTGGTAATTTCAGATTTTGAAAACAATCTTAGGTTGTATTTCAAGTTGTACAACATCTTGTACTTATTTTCTACAGGATTAAAATTACATTTGATTCCACAAAATAGCATGCGCACAGCTAGATGTCCAAGATCTCCCAATCCAAAGAAATGTGTTTTCTGGGCATGACAGTCCCATCGATGATAATTATTGTGAGCCTCTGTGCAGCATGCCTTTGAACAGTAAACAGCTAATTGACATTCATGGCAACTAAAGAGAAAATGTAATTATTATTGACAATTATTTTCCATATCTTATTACTCACGTATAAAAAGATTTTACTGGCTTCCAACAATGATTGCATTCATAGTTCATTGTATTTACACAAATGCAATTATGTGCCTTTACGTCAATAGCAGCCTTCTCACATATTAGAGTCTCCCCTTCTTTGATATTGTCCACAGCAATTGTTTTTATCACTTTGTTTGAATAAGGGCTGAATGTTTTATTTATAGTATATGTATCAACTTTAGCAATAAAAGTGCACTTACCAAAATCTAATCTTATTAGAGACCTGTTTACTATAAATTTCTGGTAAAGTTAATGTACTCAGAATTGTGTCCTGATTAATGAAAACACTGCATCCAGTCAGGTTGCAATCACTCAAATAATCACTTGAAAAGCATTTTTCAATATAGTGAATTATACTCTGTGTATGTTTAGATTTCCTATGATCATGAATGTTATAATTATAAATTGAATAAAAAAAACTTACTCTAAATTTAAAAAGTACTGGTTGAACAAATCAAATTCATTTTTGTATACATCTGGCACATAACTGGCTTCATTCTCTATAACTATGTTGCTACCTAAAATTAATAATTGCATATAGAAAACAATAGATTACTTATAATTAAATCTCACTATTTTTTTTAGCACAATTCGTTGTTACCGATTTGTTTACATTGTGAAAAAGTCTGCCCTCAGCAGTATTCGAATTCGTTAATTGATCAAACAACTTATCCAGAACAATGTACTCTTGGTCTTGTTCAAATTTGTTTAGTCTCTCCATTTTCACAATAACCTAATCACCGATAACTATCCAATACAAAAAAACACACACAAAATAAGTTGAAATAAATGTGGAACGTATATTTCTCTAGTTATTTTTTTATCACGTCATAGCATTTAACGGTTTTAACGTTGAAAGTTAAATTATAAAATCAAAAATTGTAAAGGAACATTAATAAATGTTAAGTCATTTAGTAGTTTAGCTCGAATATTCGAATTTTATTTTTAATATAATAATGTTATAATAAAGTATTCTCTAGTTATATGTTGTACAGAGGGCTCTGGTAGTAATATTTAAAAATTGTATTCAATAAGCGTATATTGCACAATCAACTGTTTGGTCGATTTTATTTCAAATACATTTATAAGATGATTTTAGTTATGAGACCAGCGGCAATGGTCAGACCTCCGACTCTGAGGGTTACTCTTCCCAGCTCTTTGTATTCGCTGTACATCTCTAAAGCTATTGGCCTGGACACTTGGATTTCTACCATGGCGCTAGTGTTATTACTTAAGAATCTGGGACGCTTCTTCACCACCTCTCCAGTACTCTTATTCAGTTGAGATATTAACTTGCTAAAGGACGCAGGCTCCATCAGAGATTGATGATGCAAGACAATCTGAAAAATATGAACAACCGTGTTAGTATTATGTGTATATATTAATTTCGACAATTCAAAAACTTATTTAAATTGTTTAAAACTGAAACTTAATGATCTACTTTTTGATTTATAATATTTCCACTATTCCTTTAAAACAAATAAGACAAATGCGCGTATATATACACGTTAATAAGTCGTTAATAATGAACTGATATCAATCGTTTTAGTATTATGTACAGTAAACTTACCGGATATCCTTTTGTTATTGGTACCTTAACGTTGAAGACAACGATTCTACATTGGAACTTGGAAGCCACTTGAACTGGACTTTGAATATCGCACATAATGTAGCCAACGCTAACATTCTCCATTTCAACACCCGAGAGAGTCACCGTTGGTTGATCACCTGCGTAAACCACTGGATAGGGTACGTCCTCCAACGTAATCGACTTTACCGTTGCTATTTCGCGGCTGGGACATAGCAAGACACGGTCACCAGCAGACAAACAACCCGTTTCGACCCGACCTGAAACGCACAATCTAGATCCCACTCCCTTAAAAATGTCGTTGATGGAAAACCTGAGCGGTTTGGATATTGGGCGTTCTGGAGGCCTAAAATTATCTGCAAAAAAAAGTTATGGTAATATTTGAATGTATAATGAATGGGAATTTTAGTACCGATGACTTCGAGCAGTGTGGAACCATTATACCATGAGATCAATTCGTTTTCCGTAGATTTTTTGACCAAGTTCTGTCCGGACAAACCGCTACAAGGCACGAATGTGACATCGGCCTCACGAAAACCAGCCTGCTTGAGGAACACCTTAAGCTTATCCTTAATATCGTCGAATCGTTCCTTTGACCAGGAGACGGTGTCAAGTTTGTTTATGGCAACCGCTAATTGAGAAACGCCTAACGACCTCACGAGCAATGCGTGCTCCCTAGTTTGACCTCCGAAATCGAAACCAGTTTCAAACTCGCCTCGAGTTGCGTCCACCACAAGCAAAGCCACATCTGCCTGACCAGCACCAGATATCATGTTGGGAATAAAATCTTTATGGCCAGGAGCATCCAGTAACGTCACCTATAGAAAATACTAATCAGTATAAGAAAAACAACAAATAAGCATAAATGAATTAACCAATTTGTTTTGAGTTTCAAACTGTGAACGTCCTACGTCCATTGTGATACCTCTGTTTCTCTCCTCACCGGTCTCATCCAGAACCCACGCATACATGAAGCTCTGTTTGCCCAACTTGCGGCTTTCCTGTTCATACTTGTGCATAACTTTCTGATGTACCTAAAATATTATATTTCTGATTAGATGCAAATAGAATAAAAAACGTTTATTTCTTAATTTTTCAAAAGTGTTATTTTCATTATATTTACCTAAAAAGTAATAATAATGTAAAATTATTAAAATCTTTTTAACAAGATATTGGTAGGAGCTTATATATGTTTATATATAAACAAAATATGGATACACGACAAGTTCGTGACAAGCACTTTAAAATTTGATTTTAAAGTACCTGTCGCAGAGTTGTCGCGTACTCAAAAAATATAACTTATGTCCAGTAAAGCGGTAATGTCTTGTAAATATAAAAGAGTACTAACCTGTCCTAGAGAGCAAAGGAGATGTCCCATCAAAGTGCTTTTTCCTGCATCTACGTGACCGATCACAATCATATACAAATGCTGCTTCGAATCGCTTCTGTCCTTCTTATACTGGGCAAGAACGTCAATCTTGGGCTCCCACTTCTTGTTTAATTCCTCGTCAACATTGACAGGAGTTCCTCTGCCCGAGGCTGGACTCTGGGAATCTGGAGTGCTGCTCAAACGGGACACATCCTTCTGAACAACAACGTCGAAGCCTTTGGTCACGGTCCTGGTCTTACCTTGAGCTCCGCTCGATCCCCCCACGACTTTAGAGCTTGGAAGATCTTCTGTTTGCACTATAAAAAATTTAATGATTAATTATAAACACACAAAGTATTAAATAGTTGAATCCTTAAAGTTGACCCACAAGAAGTGGGAGGTGAAAAAATAATGTGGATGAAATTTAAACATTTAAATTTATTAAAATAATAAATAGTCCAATTTAGAATCAATTACCTAAACTACATGATTTTAAAATAAAACAGAGGATACATTTAAATTATAACTAAAACGGAATATGTAAACTGAAATATGACAAAAGAAACAAAAATAATTGTAATCTGTATTATTTTCGTCTTAAATATTGACTGATAATATCATCAGGAATCGAAACACTAAAATTGAATTGCATGAGGGCATAGACCCCAAGGCTTAGATGAATACGCTTCGTTATTACCTTCTTGTTGCATACAAATTATACAATTTTTTTAAACCTTCTTGCTCAACTTGCATTCTATCACTACAACGAATTGTTTCAAGTCAAAAGAACGACCCAATTAAACTGACTGCTTCCTAGAGTCCGAACCCCCTAACTGTTGGTCGCATTCTATAAACTCTGGGACGAAATTCGCGCTGTTACCAGTTAACTGTGTCTTGCTATGATTACCACCCGCTTTATGCCACTACCTTTAACTATAAGCGCTTTGAACAAGTCAACGCGGCATCTTCCAAGTTCGAAATACCAAAAGTATTAATACTCGACAGCTTGCCTATATCTTGTATTATTTTTTTTTCTCTTTGACATCGGACCAACAAGCCAACAGTTTTTGTGTATATGGTTGTTCGTCAGCGCTCACAGCAAAGACACTAAGCTGGTTAGCGGTCGGAGGTGGTTCGTGCTCAAATTATTCAACATGTAATCCTATAGAATTTCTTACTACTATTGTTATTACTTATTTTTAGATCATTCAATTTCGGTATATTGAACATTGCTTTCTTTGATACCAAATCTTACCTTACAAATTAATAATTTAGAGCAGGAATATGAAAAAAAAAAAACAAATTTCATTCTGCTTACCTTTTGAAGACCTATTGCTCTCCTGTGTCTTGGGATTTTCATTGAGAAGTGAATTCAGTGCACGCTCCACATTGTAGTCAAAACCCACTACTGCATCAACTATTTGCTGTCGAGTCATGGTTGTTCCCAATGTCCCTCTAATTTGTTCAACACATGATTCAAGTTTAGCTTTTTTTAACTCTTCGTTACTTTCTATCTCTTCATCTTCCTCTTCAATATCTTTTTGAGAGTTCAGGTATGATCCAATTTGTATATTATTTCTATTGTACATAAAAGCAGCTTGGCTTGGTGACATACTATAATCATCCTCCACTGAATGGCCATATACATCATCAAATGCATCACACTCTATAATAGATAAAATGTAAAAAAAATATTGATAAAATTTAATACCTCACCTTCTTCAAAATCCATAGATCTAATATTTCTGTGTCTAGACATTTTCTCGAATATTCACAATATAATTTAATATAACTGAATACACGAGCAATACTTGAACACAAATATGTTAATCTATGTTTCAAATGTATAAATGATAAACGTCCTTATTTTGGATCAACAGCTGTTTTAATTTTCAATTCACTCTATTGTCTTTAAAATACCACTACTTCAATATTTAAATTCACCAATCTCTACCAATCCATCTATCGTTGTAGAGCAAAAACTTAAATCTGGGGTGTCAGGGTCGCATCATAAAGAAAATAAAAATGAGTGTCATATACTATAGGCAACAATATATACTATATAACAGTATAACGTTCTTTACCTGTCTAGATGATAATTATGATATAAATATACATTGTATATATTTTATATTATATATTGTACATTGTATATTTATATTATAGATGATAATTGAGTCTTTCGTTTAGAACAACTTTTTCACATATTTATAACTGATATATAATTTTTAAATTAAAAAGAGATTTATATCAATTATTGTCTAGCAACCAGAGTCGAACCGGAACCGAATTAACCGAAATTTTTAACAGAACCGTAACTGTAACCGGAACGTAAAATTGCTCAATTGGAAAACCGAAATGAAATTTTAATTACTTTTCGGTTCAATTTCATGTATGGTAATTTGATGGTAGTGTGCCGGTTCTATTGTGCCAGTTTATTTATACAGTGAAACCTCGCTTAACGAGCATTTCGATTAACGAACAAAATGAATTGTAAGAAAAATGACTCGCTTAACGAGCGACGTTTCGCATAACGAGGAGAAGAGAAGTCCCGGATTGTGCGCCTGCTACATCATTTTTAAAACATGTGTACACATATTATGTGTATTTTTGAATATGTTTCACTATATGAGTATTTCACTATACAAGTAAAAATCCTGAAGTGTTGAAACGGAATAAACTCGTTAATTTAAAAATATTATTGTAGAAATTTTCGATATGGTCGGGATTTTGATGATAAATCTTTTTCTTCAGTTCTTCAGTCTCCATCACTCTCAATAAGAGGAGAGCCAAAAAGTAAAATAGGGTAGATTCTATAAATAAGTGTAATGTCAATCTTTCTGTTTTTACAGTTTCCTGATTTTTATAAAGATACAGATAGTTCTGTGATACATGACCCCAAATCATCTGTCTATGGGATTTATATTAACGAGGAACGCTCATCTGAGAATATTTCACAGCAGAGATGTATGCTATACACATGACTCTAAATTTAATTGAGAGGAATGGTTGGAGAAAGAGTGTCCTATTTTCTATCTCTAAAAGTTTGTTGGACGCAATTCAATCCTCGCAATATTCAGTTAAATACAGTCGATTCTGCTTAATCGGGACTAAAAATTACAGGATTAGTTATTTTTTATATTTTATTTAATAAATTGCACAAAATAAAACAAGTCACAAAAGTAGAACCATTATACCAAGACGTCCAATTTGATAACCAATTTGTTCTCCGTAGATTTTGTGACCAAGACAGACCGCTACAAGGCACGAATGTGACATCGGCCTCACGGAAGCCGGCCTTCTTGAGGAACAACTTAAGCTTATCCTAAATATTGTCAAATCGTTCTTTTGACCAGGAGACGGTGTCCACTTTGTTTATGGCAACCGCTAATTGAGTAATGCCTAAAGATCTCACGTGCTCGTTTGATCTCCGATATTAAAACCAGTCTCAAACCCGCCTTGCGTTACGTCCTCCACCAGCAAAGTCACATCTGCCTGACCAGCACAAGATATCATGTTGGAAATGAAATCCTTGTGACCGGGAGCATCCAGTAATGTCACCTATAGAAAATACTAATTAGTAAAAGAAAAACAATAAATGAGTTAACCAATTTGTTTTGAGTTACAAACTGTGAACGTCAATTGTGATGGCCCTGTTTCAATCCTCACTGGTCTCATCCAGAACCCATGCATACATGAAGATCTGTTTGCCCAACTTGCAGCTCTCCTGTTCATACTTGCGTTAATTTTCTGATGTACCTAAAATATTATATTTCTCATTAGCACAGATGTATCCATCACTCACAAATTATTTTCAAATACAAATAAAATAAGAAACGTTTATTTCTTAAATTTTCAAAAGTGTTATTGTCAATATTTTTATGTTTCAATATATAAAGCAATAATAATGTAAAATTATTAAAATGCTTTTAACAAGATATTTGTAGGATGAGCTTATATATGTCATTATAAGAAAAATGTTGTTTAGTATAGCGGTAATATCTCATAAATATAAAAGAGTACTAACCTGTCGTAGAGAGCAATGAAAGTGTTTCTCCCTGCATCTACGTGACCAATCACAATCATACTGCTTCGAATCGAATCATGCTGTTTCGAATCGGGTCTGTCCTTGTACTGGTCAAGAACGTCAGTGGACTATCACTTGTTGTTCAATACCTTATCAACATTGAATGGAATTCATCTGCCCGAGACTGGACTCTGAGAACCCAGGGTGCTTCTCAAACGGGAGACATCCTTTTGAACAACGTTGAAGCCTTTTGTCACGGTCCAGGCCTTACCTTGAGCTCTCCTCGGTCTCACCACGACTTTAGAGCTTGGTGTTTGCACTTTCAAATAATTTCAAAATTAATGATTAATTATAAACACACATACACAGTATTAAACAGATGAATCCTTAAAGTTAGCCACCAAGAAGTAGGAGGTGAAAAAATAGTGTGCATGAAATTTAAACATTTAAATTTATTGAAGTAATAAAATAATGAATGGTCCACTTTAAAATCAATCATCTAATCTACAAGTAAATAATAAAACAGAGGATACACCTAAATTAGAACTAAAACTGAATATGTAAACCGAAATATGAAAAAACAAAAATAATTGTAATCTGTATTATTTTCGTCTTAAATATTGACTGATAATATCATCGGGACTCGGAACACTAAAATTGAATTGCATGAGGGCATGGGCCCTAAGGCTTAGACGAATACGCTTCGTTATCGCCTTCTTGTAATGCATACAAATGATCCGACCACTTCTTGAAACTTTTTTGCTCAACTTGCATTCTGCCAGCATAACGGATTGTTTGCAGTCAAGAGAACAATCCAATAAAACTGAGTGCTTCCTCGAGTCCAAACCCCCTATCCGTTGGTCGCATTCTATAAAATCTGGAACAAAATTCGCACTGTCGCCAGACAACTCTGTCTTGTTGCGATTGCCAGCCGCTTTAATGCCATTGCGTTTAACTATCAGCGCTTTGGACAAGTCAACGCGGCAATCTTCCACGTCCGAGATAGCAATAGCATTAATACCATTCGACAGATTGGCTATATCTTTCTTTAATTTTTGATCTCTTGCACCACGGACCAACGAGCCAGAGTTGTTGCCCACCTTTTGCAGGTGGTTGTTCGTCAACGCTGACAGCGAATTGAACTTGGTGTCTATGCTGGTTAGCGGTCGGAGGGGGCTCGTGCTCAAATGATCCGACACATAATCCGAAAGACTATTAAATTTCTTACTACTATCGTTATTGCTTATTTTTAGATCATTCAATTTCGGTATAGTAAACATTGCTTTTTTTAATGTCAAATCTTACCTTACAAAATTATAAATTAAGGGCAGGAATATGAAAGAAAATAAAACAAATTTAAATAAGCATCATTTAGTGACACTTTACAATTCTAAATTCTGCTCACCTTTTGAGACTCTATTACTCTCCTGTGTCTTGGGATTTTTACTGAGAAGTGAATTCAGTGCACGCTCCACATTGTAGTCAAAAGCCAGAACTGCATCAACTATTTGCTGCCGAGTCATGGTGGTTCCCAATGTCCCTCTAATTTGTTCAACACATGATTCAAGTTTAGCATTTTTTAACTCTTCATTAGTTTCTACCTCTTCAGCTTCCTCTGTAATATATTTTTGAGAGTTCAGGTATGATCCAATTGGATTATTTATATTGCACATATACACAGTTTGGCTTGGTGACATACAAAAATCATCCTTCACAGAATGTCCATATACATCATCAAATTCTTCATACTCTATAGTAGATGTAGATGTAAAAAAATGTTCAAAGAAGTTGATTAAATTTAATAGCTTACCTTCTTCAAAATCCATAGATCTAATATTGTGTGTAGACATTTTCTCGAATATTCACAATATAATTTATTAATATAACTGAATACATGAGCAATACATGAACACAAATATGTTATTCTATGTTTCAATTGTATAGATAATAATCGTCGTATTTTAGATCAACAGCTGTTTTAATTTTCACTAACTTGTCTTTAAAATACCAATACTTCAATATTTAAACTTACTAACATATACAAATCACAAAAAAATAAAAATTAGTGTTATATACTATAGGCAATAATATATGCATAATAAAGTACCTTATCCGTGTAGATGATAATTATGATATAAATATACTATGTATATTTTTATTATAGATAATTATTGAGTCTTTCGTTTAAAACTATTTTTATAACATACTTGTAACTGATATTTAAAACATTCATCTATATTTATGTAAGGAACCAAATCCACTTACAAATTGGCAAACATGTACATAGTGTTGCGTGTTGCATTTTTTACAGTACCGCTTGTGTTTATCGAACTCATCGGAGCCGTAGGAGCCCCGGCTCGAATTGTCTATCCTATGTTTTTAGAACCCGTGTATTTACACTAAAACTGTGGCTGGCTTAATTGTGTCAGTGTGACACAGGCTAAGTGTACAACAGGAGGTGGAAACCCCCAGGAAGTGAAGAAGAAGAAGATTTATTGAACTTAAGTGATGTGAAACTGTGTTTGTAGGATTTTAAACGTTTCTATGGTAATTATTATATTTATTTAGTATGTTGCTGTCAATTTAAATTTTGATTGTAATATTGTTCAATAGTGTAACTTCATTTCTATATTTTATCATGTTCTCTACAAAAACTATCGTAAAGTTTGTTATTATAGTGGCGATAACAATGCCAGCTCTTTTGATGATATTATTTTAAGTAAAAAGTTAGTCAATTAAACATTGTGTGTTGGTGGAATTCATTAACCTTGCTGTGTATTAATTTTTATTGTTTCTTTTAGGGATTTTCAATTAAAGTGCACATAACCTAAAATGTTCTCAATTTGTAAACAAACACATCCAGCAACTGGTGTTGAACACGCCATAAGTTGTTATTTCTTCAATAAATTAGAAAAATGCCTGATCACTGCAGGGGCGAATATCTTGAAGGTATTCAGGTTAATACCTGATAATGAAACAAAGCCTAAACTGGAACGACAACCTGGTATGTATGTCTGTACCATATATGTATAGTATAATAATATAAATTAATGTTTTAGCAACTGCATGTCCTCCAAAATGCAAATTAGAATGTGTGGCACAGTATTCACTTTTTGGAAATGTCATGTCTATGCAAACTGTAAATTTAGCAAATTCGCCACGAGATGCATTGCTCTTGGCTTTTCAAGATGCTAAATTATCCATTGTAGAATATGATTCAGAGACACATGACTTAAAAACTTTAAGTTTACATTATTTTGAAGAGGAAGATATGAAGGATGGTTGGACACACCATCACCATGTCCCAATGGTCCGATCTGATCCTGAAAATCGGTGCGCCGTGATGACCGTTTTTGGTAAAAAATTAGTTGTGTTGCCTTTTCGACGAGATAATTCGTTGGATGATGGAGATGGTTCCGATATAAAACCTATGAGTTCAGGATCATCAAACTCAAAGACCTTGATTTTGGCTTCTTATATGATTTTGCTGAAAGATTTCATTGATAAAATTGATAACGTAATTGACATTCAATTTCTGCATGGATATTATGAGCCAACACTGTTGATCCTATATGAACCATTGAAAACATTTTCTGGGTATAGTTTAAAATTATTTGTTTTAAATTATTATTTAATATGTTTATTATTTTAGTCGTGTAGCGGTGCGGACGGATACGTGTGCTATGGCTGCTATCTCTTTAAACCTGCAGGAGAAAGTGCATCCAATTATTTGGAGCGTTGCGAATTTACCTTTTGATTGTACAAGAGCTGTACCGATTAAGAAACCACTTGGCGGGACACTTGTGTTTTCAGTAAATGCACTAATTTATCTGAATCAGAGTATTCCACCATATGGTGTTTCATTGAACAGTATTGCAGAGACGAGTACCAGCTTTCCATTAAGTATTATCTATAATTCTGAATAGTAATATATTTAATGCTAAATGAATACATTTTTTCAGAGCCTCAAGAAGACCTTAAAGTAAGCTTAGATTGTGCGCAAGTGGGATTTTTAGATGATGATACTCTAGTATTGTCTTTAAAAGGGGGAGAGTTGTACGTTCTTACTTTATTAGCCGACAGTATGAGATATGTGAGAAGCTTTCATTTTGAAAAATCCGCGTCGAGTGTTTTAACAACTTGTGTAAGAAATTTTTGGTTAAATATAATAATAATAATGATTAAAAATATTTCATTGTAGCTTTGCGTTTGCGAGAATAATTTCTTGTTTCTTGGATCTCGATTAGGTAATTCACTGTTGCTTCGATTTACTGAAAAAGACGATTGTCAAGTTATTACGTTGGATGATGAGAACGAGCCGACGTCATCTAAACGTTCAAAACTGGCAGAGGAACCGGAAAAGATGCTGGACAGTTTAAATGATTGCATGGCCAGTGACGTTTTAGACATCAGAGACCCGGAGGAGTTGGAAGTATACGGTAATCAGAAACAAGCTAGTCTGCAGATCACTTTTTTCGTGTTTGAGGTGTGCGACAGTCTTCTGAATATAGGCCCTTGCGGTAATATATCAATTGGAGAACCAGCGTTTCTAAGCGAAGATTTCGGTCAGAATGTTGATTTGGATTTAGAGCTGGTTACCACTGCGGGCTACGGTAAAAACGGGGCCTTATGTGTTCTTCAGCGATCTATAAGACCGCAAATTGTAACTACCTTCTCGCTACCTGGCTGTTCAAATATGTGGACAGTTCTTGGCCATGACGATAATCATGCGTTTCTGATATTAAGTCAAGAAGAAGGAACTATGGTAATGTTAAACAAATATTATTTAAATTTTTAATTGACTTAGATTATAGATTCTACAAACTGGACAAGAAATTAACGAGGTCGATAATACTGGATTTGCAACTGATGGACCTACCGTATTTGCAGGCAATCTGGGGAATAATAAGTACATAGTGCAAGTAACAATGAATGCTATCAGGCTGATGCTCGGTACTGGTCGACTACAATTTATTCCCCTAGATTTAAACTCTCCAATCATACACGCATCTACGGCAGATCCTTTTATTTCTATTTTAACTGCCGATGGGCAAGTCATCACACTCATGTTGAGGGAAACCAAAATGTCTGCTAAATTGGTAGTCAGCAAGTCAACTCTGGCTAACGTAAGCATTATAAGTTTTTTAGATTTAAAAATAATATATGATTTTATTCTAGACACCAGCTGTGACAACAATCTGCATGTATCGTGACGTGTCAGGTTTATTTATCAACAAGATCCCAGAGGATTTCACGCATATTCCTCAACATTTTATAAATGATGTCGAACCTAAAGCAGAATTCGAAAACGAGGACGATTTGCTATACGGAGAAGACGGTGATTTCAAAATGCCATCATTGAATCCTACGCCCAAGCCAAGACTCTACTACAACTGGTGGAAAAAATATACCGTAGAACATAAGCCTACTTACTGGCTGTTCGTGGTACGCGAAAATTCGAATTTAGAGATTTATTCTGTGCCAGAATTTAAATTGTGCTTTATTGTGAGGAATCTGTGCTTCGGGTATAAGGTGCTCGTAGATAGTTTGGAATCGGTAAACATGTCTACCTTGGAAAATATTACTAAGGCTGAGATCAGGCGCGATTTTGACGTAAAGGAAATCGCAATGGTTGCTTTAGGTAACAAAGCTAGCCGACCATTGCTTTTCGTTCGTTTGGAGAACGACCTATATATCTACGAGGTATTCAGATTCTCAAGAGGAAATTTGAAGTTGAGGTTCAGGAAGATGCGCCACAATATTATGTACATGCCTAACGTCGAGGGGAAAATTGACACTGAACAACCGGATTTCTTTAGTGTTCAAGAGAAAATTTCAAAAATAAGATATTTCCAAAGCATTGCTGGTAATTACTTAACAGACTTAATATATATAAGTTTAGTATATATTTTTATATTTTTGTTTAGGAAATAATGGTGTATTTATTTGTGGCGCTAATCCCCATTGGATATTCATGACAGCACGTGGAGAACTCCGAACACACCCGATGACGGTCGATGGAGAAATTCTCTCGTTTGCCGCATTCAATAACATTAATTGTCAACAGGGTTTCTTATACTTTAACAAAAAAGTATGCTACTTAATATATTTAATTTATTTTAAGATTAATGTCAACTTATTTCAAGGCGGAGCTCAGGATTGGTGTTTTGCCGACGCATTTAAGTTACGATGCGCCTTGGCCTGTGAGGAAAGTCCCTCTTCGATGCACTCCACATTTTGTTACCTACCACTTGGAATCTAAAACATATTGTTTGATAACAAGTACATCCGAGTCATCTACATCTTATTATAAATTCAATGGGGAGGATAAGGAATTATCAGTCGAGGATAAAGGAAAGCGATATCCGTACCCACAACAAGAGAAATTCAGTATAATGTTGTTTTCGCCTGTATCTTGGGAAGTTATCCCTAATACTAAAATCGATTTGGAGGAGTGGGAACATGTTAATTGTTTAAAAAATGTCTCATTGGCTTATGAGGGCACCAGATCTGGTCTTAAAGGCTATATTGCAATGGGTACTAACTATAATTACGGAGAAGATATAACATCGAGAGGACGAGTACGTATATAATACAGTTATAATTTAAAAATATTATAATTTCGTATATTTTAGATTCTTATTTATGATATTATTGAAGTTGTACCAGAACCTGGACAACCTCTCACCAAAAACAGATTCAAAGAAATCTACGCTAAGGAACAAAAAGGTCCTGTCACTGCAATATCCCAGGTCAAGGGATTCTTGGTTTCGGCCGTAGGCCAAAAGGTTTTATTTTTCTAAGTCTGTTCTATATGCAGCTGTAATGTATTGGTTTTTAGATTTATATTTGGCAATTAAAAGACAATGACTTGGTGGGGGTTGCATTTATCGATACGCAAATTTACACTCACCAAATATTAGCAATCAAAAGTTTAATTCTCGTTGCCGACGTCTACAAGTCGGTGGCCCTTCTTCGATTCCAGGAAGAATACAGGACACTGTCACTAGTTTCTAGGGTATGTAAATACAGTTGATTCTGCAAAATTTATTTATTGGTGCTTTCAGGATTTCAGACCTAGTGAAGTCTATACTATTGAATATTTGATCGATAACAGTACTTTGGGTTTCTTGGTATCTGACAGTGAAAAGAATTTGATTTTATACATGTATCAACCAGAAGCAAGGGAATCATTTGGCGGTAAAACAGATATAACTTAAATACCGCTATTTAAATAACATTTCATTATTCTTAGGTCAACGATTATTAAGGAAAGCTGACTTTCATATTGGCCAGTCGATCAACACGTTCTTCAGGATCCGCTGTAAATTAAATGATTTGGGTGAAGAGAAGAAATACCAATTTGGTGCTGACAGGAAGCATATAACTATGTTTGGTAAATATACTCGAATTTGCTCAATTTTTTTAACTTACCAATAAACATTTAGCTACGCTTGATGGAGGTTTAGGATACATTATGGCAGTTCCCGAGAAAACTTATCGTAGGTTACTAATGTTGCAAAACGTATTGGTTACGCAGGGATCGCACACAGCTGGTTTAAATCCCAAATCCTACAGGTGATTAACAAACTCTCTTGCATGCAATAGATCATATAAACAATTATTTTTATAGAACATACAAGAGTTGGAGAAAACTGCAATCGAACCCAGCCAGAAGTGTGATTGATGGTGAACTGGTTTGGAATTTTTTGCATTTACCGCTGAACGAGAAGATGGAAGTGTCCAAGAAGATCGGGTCGAAGATCGAGGAGCTGGTGGATGATCTGAAGGACATCCACAAGTTGACATCGCATTTTTAATAAGATAAATTTACTTTTTACATTCTTTTTAATTTCTTTTCCTCAGTTAAAAAAAATCTCCTTTTCCATTTTGCAGTTAGCATTTCTATTTATTTAATACACAACACATTTTGTTTAAATCACAGAAACACAATTTATCTAAATCGTAGATAGTAGAAAAATATATTCGATTCGTTATGACCATCGAGATAACAAAAAATTAAATACTAAACAAAAAATGTGTATAAAAGTTCCAGTCTTGTAAAATATATTCTTAACATCCTTTTATCCACGTAAACTGTAAGAGCGTAACGAAGTGCCCTTTTCACTTTTCTGCGAATTTGATTTTTTTTCTGTAATATCAAATTAATTACATTTGTTTATTCATATTTATTAATTACTATATGTATATATATATGACTTACTCTGCTTCCTTTTAGATTTTCTTTTCTTATAAGTCCTCTTCGCTTTTTTGCTATTATTATTTGAACATACTAAATACTTCCTCTCTGTTATATTATTGTGCACTTGCATCATCGCTGATGTGTATCCATCAATCGGAGAGCTGAAATATTCGTAACTATCATTAGTCACGTTAAAGTATAACATTGGCATTGTATATATTTATATATAGTTATTTAAGTAAAGCATATTTGATGTTATGTTATAATGCGTTATTATTGTTTAATTAAAATGTATGCATCACTTCATTTGAACTTTGAAGTAACAAATTCAAACTTATATAAAGTTTATATCATACTCATTTTTAACAAGAAAATTATTTTTAAAGATAAAAAAAATATTTAAATAGTACTTACCTTTCCATTTTATATTTTGGAGATTGTCCATCATTATTAATCCTTTCTAAATATTTATTATAAATCTCGGTCATCGCGTACGTGGGATTCAGTTTTTTTATATTCAGATTGCTGATGTTATGGTTGGAATCGCTGGATTCACTTATTTTTTTGTTACTCTGCTTGAGGATCTGTTCAGGATCTATTAAAATTCTCGACCAATTCATCCGACAGAGATTCTTTTTGTTCTTCCTGAGCAGCGGTTTAACAGGTAGATTTGATTTCAACGGCGTCCTCTGTATCATAGAAAAATCCCTTCGGTATCTCATATTCTCCAGATTCTTTTTCATCTTAGTTTTCATCTTTCCCCAACCCTCGATATTCTCGAAATCCAATTGACTGTCGGTCTTGTAACCATACTCTTGTATCGCCTTCAGAAAGATCGACTTGTACAAAGCATAATTTGGCTTCTCGTTATATTTTAGTTTGGTTAGATGCTGGAAGTACTCGCACAGGAATTTTGGGTAATTGCCGAAGCAAAACGACAGGAACGATTTAAGTTTGGATAGACACTGCCTCTTCTTCCGCTTGACCTTCTCCGGGTCTTCTAAATTTTTGTTCCATGGTAAGTTAGACGTCAGCCAATAGATTATGTTGTATCCTAAGCACTCCAAATCGGATCGTTGAGTTTGAATGCCTTTGTGGGCGTCCAAAGAGCAGAATAGAATAGTTCCCGCATGCGCTTTTCTCTGGTCCACGCAATACTCCTTATGCTCACCATTGGATAACAGATATTTTGAGGCCAAACCATAATCAAGTAAGTAGACTTCATTGTCATCCCTTCGTAATGGTGTATCCGTTGGAGTATTTGTGTCCTTTACCACCCTACAATTTTTTCTTGGCCTTAAAATTCTCCTACTGCTTTTTACTTCTTTTTCTTTAGAGCAGTTCAATAATATATTGGATGCTTTAATGTCTCCGTGGATAAAACCTTTGCTATGTATATATTGTAATACATCTAATATTTGAATTGAAATTAACAAGACTGTTTTCAAATTGAACTTGGTTTTCTCTTGAAGTATTTGCTCCAAGTCCATTTGATATCTAGGTAATATTAGGAACCTGTATTTGGTGCTCTGTACCAGGTGTGATCCTGATGCCACATAGAAAGGCATTCCCAGATGATTAGTACCAGTTTTTAACATCCAGTTTTTAACTGCAATATATACATTGGTAAATTAAATTACTCTAAAACAAAAGATAAGTACTTACTTAAATCTAGCTTAGCAATTCTCAGGTAGCAATTTATCTCTACAAAGAGCGGGCCATTTGTGTGGTTCTCAATTTTAGCTACATATTGGCAATTGTCATCCACTTTTTTCTTGATACTATCAGAAACTAAAAATATTTCACCAAAACCACCCAGTCCAATTGAGGGTCCAAGTTTCCATTGCTTTCCACAAATGTCAGTTAGAATTTCACCTGGCCTTATATTCTGTTTGCCAGTCACTTCTGTTTGATTTGATCGCTTCTTCTTAGGTGGCTCATATTCATCTGTGCACTCAGCCACACGTTTTCTCATTTTGTAATTCCTATAAGTGAAACACAATATTGTCATTATACTACTTGTAAACAGTAAAGTTTCTTTATAGATTTGTGCTTACTGAATGAACATGGCCTGCTGACAATTTTCTGAATATACATTTAAGTTATGCAGAAATACCCGATTGAAATATTTCATATGAAATTTAACAACAGCTAGATTTAATATAACATTGACTGAGTTTAACCTCAATATTCTTATGATTAAAATGAATGATAACAATTGCCAAGAATGGTCAGAGTGCATGATTTTTACAATAAGGTTTAAAACATTTTGTTAAAGCTGAATTATCTGAACATGAATTGAAGTTCTGCTTTGAAATTCTGTGGTATGAGATAATCAACTGTAATAGTCACTAAAATATTTATTCCAATTAGTAAGTAAATATCTGCTGGATAAGAGACAAGTAAAGATTGTTAAATATACATGTAAATAAATAAAGAATACATACATTTTTGTTATATTTGGCTCTGCCTGTTTTATTTACTACCATCAAAAAAATCAATAAATAGACACGAACACACAGCGTACATTCAAATAATAATATTTGTGTATGTGCTTTTCCTGTAGGCCGTTGCTTTTACATGGCAACTGTTGATTTTCGCTTTACGGCGGTTCTCTGCCACTCTCATTCAGCCATCTTTCCCGTAACAGGAGTTGCACTGACGACAAAAACATGTAAAATATCACTACCATTTAATTCCTTCTTCATTGCTCAGCTGCGCGATCGCTCTTCACTCGCCATGCGCCGATTGCGTATCTTCCAATGCCCAATGCCGGCGACTCGCTTTCATTCGAAGAAAGTTCAAATTATTGCAAAATCTGTAACGGAAAAAATGTACGAATAAACTTACACAACAAACAACGAACGTAATCATCATCGCTTTGATAACGATAGAATTAATGTTTATAGTTCGGTTGACATCCGTTACAAGTTCGAGCAATGAAAACTGGTGAATACCTGAAACCTATTTATCTTATATTGTTCTGGTTTCGAAAGCAACAACGATCGATATTTGAATCAATTTGTAATACAATTGGTATTTTTAGATCTTTAATTTAGGATGAGACGCATCCAATAATTCGATCGACCGTCCCCCAAAAGCTAACACGCGACTGACGGCTATGGTGGCGGTTGCCAGGCAACTGCTGGTACCCTGTAAACAAATTCAAACGTCACCGATACTTACCGTTTTGTTTTTGTTTCTGCATTTCGCAGTCTTCTCCGATTGTTCTTTTGTTTTCCATGGCAGAGGTGCACATAATCGGGCAAATCACCGGCGCCAAAGATTTCCCAGTTCAAAGCTTATTCTGCAAGTGGAGTTTGCAATGTGGTAAGAGTAGTTTTCAATATTAAGTAAAATACAGACTTCATTTTCCATTTTGTACATTACATGGAAAATTGTTTGTTTTTTTGATTTGTTACTAAAAGTCATACATAAGTCAAATGAAAAATATTAATATATTGTATTCTTATACAAAATTATTACAAATTGTTCATCTACCTAAAATTAATAATATAATAATCTTATTCAGGAGTAATAAAAAAAATTAATAATCTTGTTGTTATGTACTTCCTTCACTTAAAACTATCAACCATTTTGAAATTGAATTTAATATACGATAATTTCCTATTAAAAGTAAAGATTTTATGTGAAAATACTAAATATTAATTCAATGATCATCAAAATCAGAAAAGTTCAAGAATTACATAATAATATTTAATGAATCTGCTGCAAAGGACTAAGACCATATATAATTACATATTACTCTAAAACTATGTTGTATTTATTCATGATATAAATATACATGTATAGTAGTACATAGTAAATCTCTTATTATAAACTTAAAAATAATGAGTAATAATCACGAAAATATTTTAATTAAGATATGTATATGAATCGACTTCTTGAATAATTTTCAAGCAAAAATGTTTACAAATATTTTAATTATGGATACAATAAAAGTTTGTATTTCATTATATGCAATATTTACAAATATAATGTTGTTTGTTTTTTTTATACATCAAATAATATACAAACAGGTTTTCTTAATTTCGAACGCTATAATACAATATATCAAGTTTACAATTACAAAATCTAGATTGTGAAGAGATGAACATTTCAGATGCTGATTTATTAAGTTATGTTGTATTATTTATATTTGTTGAATGGATGTATTATAACTAATTTTATTAATTCTTACTAAGGAATTTAATCATTGTCATTGCATTTTTCAAATATTTTATTATACATTACAATGTTTGTTTCAATAAGAATTATTTAACTAAATAAAAGGGAATAATTTATGTAAAATAATAAATTGTTATACATTAAATTCTTAATTTGATGATTTTCAACAGGTAATAATTGGAAATTAGTCGCTGGAAAACAAGAGGGTCAAACGCAAGTCTCCAGTTCCATTTTTGAGAGCACCTGTAAATGGTGTTATCCAATTGACATTCATTTAGCTACAAGTGGAGTGCAAGGTAACATTGCCAGCATTTCAATATACTTACACATTTTTCATTCTCATAGTATTTTAAATAGGTTGGCCTAAAATTTATCTGCAAGTTTACCATTTGGACTGGCTTGGTCGTTGTCACCTCTTTGGATACGGTTTTGTGACAATTCCCACATCACCTGGCACCCACACGTTGCATTGCTACACCTGGCGACCATTCGGAGGCATTAAGGAGCGTTTTGTACAATACTTTATGGGCGGCGGCCCGCAATTAAAATACCCCGATTTGATATTTTCAACAAATGATCGATACAAATTGAACACGGAGGCAATGGGAGTAGTCACATTCGATGTTCACGTTGCTCTTAGAAATTTCTACAAATTCGGTGTCGAATATAAATGAAGATGTTGCACCTTATGTACATTGTGCTAGTAGCAATAGCTGTAGCCCAAAACAGCACTGACTTTGAAAATGTAACTGAAATAGTTGATAATTGTGACATGGACAATAGCACATGTACTACAACAGTTAGCTCAATTGAAACAAGCACAGCTAATATTACAACTGAAACTCCCAAAAAGAAAAAGAAGAGAAAGGAGATATTGAAATTGGTTGAAAAGAAATACTGTTCTTGCAATTTACATGTAAGTATTTATTTCTTCTTATTACTAGATTTGTTTGCTTCTAAAACATCTCCTGGTGATGGGTATGGCCTCTGTTGGAATAATGCTCCTGGAGCTGTAGAATCTGCTTTCAGTTTATTTATTTCCAAACCATCACTCCAGCTTCCCCTAGGTATATCCGAGTATGAAGCTGGATCCATAGGATCCAACAGTAAATCCTCTCTTTTGCTCCTCCTTCTACCTCTATCCCTATCATCATGCTTGTTGTACCTTCTCTCATCCTCTTTGTCCTTCCTCTCCTTATGTCTTTCTCTTGTCCGCTTTTCAAAGTCCCTCTGAATCTGCTCCTGCTCTGACATCTCCTTGAGTCTGGCCCTTAGAATGGCTGCTGGCTCAGTGAGGACTGCTTTTGGGTGTGTTGGTGGCAACCAAGAGACTAGATTTTTCTCTATATCCCAGTAGTAATACCTACCAACTCCATTGTCAAACAGCTCTGTGCAATTCTTGGGTAGTGGATATTTCTCTAACATTTTCTTCACACTCTTCATGTAATGAGGCTCAGGATTGTTGTGAACCTTCCAGTGAATTTGGCACCAAGTAGTGCACTCATGATAAATATTGTATTTGTTGGGGCAGCAAAGGGCACATTTGGATTCTGGCTTGTTTTCTTTTTCAACGACCACTGTCGGTTTCTGTTGACCAACCAAACCTCTTTTCGCTAGTTTTGCTGCTAATGCTGCTGGTAGAGGCATCTCGAAGAATATAAAATTTCTAGGCCGAATTCCAGTTTTTATGTGTATTATGTTTAGGTTATGTTGCCTCGACTAATGATGACAGTCTTCGATCACAACAAACTGATTCAAGCGCCACCACCAGATCATGTGTTAACTAAATTTCTTTTAAATTTTAGATGAATGTATGCGAGGTAAATTGTTGTTGCGACAAAGACTGCTCCTATGATGATAAATTTTCATTCAAATTTTGCTCGGATTATAAACCTGTCGATGAGGATCCAAAATTTTGCAACTATTACCAGCAACGTTACATAAATAACACATTATATGAATGGGAAATTCACCAGAGCAGTTTATTCTGCATTTATAGGACAAATTTACCAAAACGTTATACAGTTCAGAAGAAACAGGTAATATGTTTTTCCTATAAGTTTAATTTAATAGTGCTAATAATAATATTTATTTAAACAGTGACATAAATAATTAAAACCTATTTATAGCAACATTATAATAAGAGAAAAAGTAACTGTTAAGATGACAAACATCATTCTGCTAATTAAATCTTGAGGGATGTTTTTTTTTATAAATGTTGATCACAGCGAAAAAGTTTGATTAAGTGCGGACAGTATATGTATGTCAATAATTTTAAAAATTAAAGATATATACAATATAATTTATAAAAATTTCAAATATTTTCTGTCGATCGTATTATTAATGGAATCTAATATTTTTAGATTATTAAAAACATAGAAGAGGCGGAATATTACAGGTCAAAAAATCTTAAATGGCCCCAATTCACGTTGAATCAAGTAGAAATTGATTATAACGTTAATTATACATATGGAGATGATATATGGTTTCTGAAGAATTATACAAATATTTATAAACTAGGTATTTTTTCGTATATCTAACTTATTTATTTATTATATAAAATATTAGAAATTCCAGACAGTTTCATAACGGATGCTTGTTTAATGAAAAAGAAGGTGAAGTATTTACAGAATTTGAAAACTAGCTGCAGCAGAAACAGTGTTGATGAATACCTCACTATTCAGCATTACAATAATAATTTAACAGTATTATCTTCGCCGCAAATGTTCCAAGTGAATATAACAAGGTCTCCAGTAAGCATGAATATTAAATGTATAAAATATATTGTAATGTGTTTGTTTTAGGAATGTCCTAAAAACGTATGCATCCCATTGGTAGTTTATCTATGTAGAAAAAATAATTGTACGAATTTGACATCCGCCGAAACCAAGTGCGCATTCGGCGAGTGCAAGAACTTGGTAGAAAAAGTTAGATACGTGTTTTACCACAATGGCACACATGGAATTCGCAGAGCCAATGTATACTTGGATCTGTTCAATTCGTCTGTAGATGAAACACAATTTTCACAGACTTTTATCGTCGAATACTTGTGGGATTCCAAAAACACCAAAAACTATACGCATCTGTTAAGCGGAAATCCGGGTTATTTAGTGGGGAAGACGATATTACTTGCGCATTTGGTAACACTCAGGAATACGACCGTGAATACTACCACGAACGAGACGAAAGTGCTTGTTACTGAACACGTGTATAGGGATGGCTCAGATTTCACAAAAAGTTTTATGGTCCTGCCAAAGAACGTGAATGGTAAATGCGTACTCTCCAATGAAATAAACTTACCTATAGAGTTTGGATACAATCTTTTTACGAAATGCACGTTGCATAAGAAAGTGATATCCGATAACAGGACGGCTCAAGAGGTTTGCCGTATTATTCAGGATGCAATTTTTGAGATATGGTCTTTGAAATACAATGAGTCGATTAATAAGACGGTAAATTTAACCGTGGGTTTATTTGGAAATGCAAACGCCACGCGAAGAGATGATTGGATTCAAGTTGTATTTACTGATCACCCTTTAAACGTATTGAATAATACATTCGGTGATGCTACCGGGAATAGTGTAAAGTGTTATAACATTGCTACAAAGATTAGGATAGATTTGTATCATTCTAGGGAAGAGGAGGATCAGCAAAAGCTCGCCGGAGTTAGCATCGGTTTTTCTGATTACTTTAATTTGAGTTTGGTGGACACAGAGGTAACGGTTCGCGTTAGAAGCGAGGTGATGTTCATGGATATCACTTCTGATAGTTTTCAGAAATACGTGACTCCACCATCATTAAACATTAAGTTACCGCACGATTTCTTTTATCCGTTCGTTAAACTTGGAAACTATGGCCGAAGAGCTCGGGCCGATTACGCGCTGTTAATTTTCGTCTACGTTTTCGTGCAAATATTGACGGAGAAAGCGGCTCGGATTGTGTAAAACTCGTATGAGTGTGTGCGGTTTGAATATTTGATCGTTTTGTTTCACCTTCAAGACAGTTTCTTATTTATTTCGTTTTGTGTTTTGGCTCTGTTACTTTGTGTTTGTTTTACCTTTTGGTCCGCGTGCGTTTCTGTATCATATTCAAATAGAACCAGCATCTGAACACAGCAAAGACAATAACGAAACGTTCACGATGAAATCGTTTTTGACGTTGGTGCTAATATTCGCGATACTCTCATCGCTGCATGCCGAAAGCTCTGTACAGGAGTTATGCAATGTTTGCGGTGATATTATTAACGAATATTGCTGCAAATATTATAATAACTGTTGCGATTGTGAGTACCTCTTTGAGATTTATACTTAATCATCGAACGTGTGTGACCGCATCTTATTGTTGCTATTGTTAATTAAGTTGTAGTTGGAAATAATTGTCCGCCTCCTCTTAGTCCGGAGGCTAAACGTGCTTGTAGGGCAGGACTAGAATGTTCATCAAGAAGGGAATGCCCAGGCGCTGGCCGATGCTGCAGGACTCAAACATGTGGCACCGCCTGCATGTCGATTAGAAAACATAGTTAACATTGTAAATAACAATCGATTGCTAATAAAGCGTTGAGATGTCAGAGTTATTTGTATTTGGCGCTAATTGATCTCGACGACTTCGACGCGGTCGCCGCTAGATGGCGATGTATAAGTTTAAAAATATTTTTAATGTGCTATTTTTTAACTAATTTATGTCCTAACTATTGTTTGTAAGTGTTAAAAATTAATGTAACAACTTGAACGATGGTTGACTGTATAATGCACCGGACCTGAAATTAATAAGTAAATAAATTAGTTATTGGTATTATGAAGTTCCTTGAAACCTTTTTATATATGCCTGCTTGTACCTTAGAAAATATATCCTGCTTCGTAAATTTGTATAAACCGAATTGTATTTAATTCGAATGGATTAAATGATATTAGATACATAAGCAATGTTTCATTGTTGCAGTTTGTAAATGGGAGTGAGGAAGGAGTGTGCGCAGGCGTTTGCCCCAAGTGACTCAAAATGAAGAAATCTCAACATGGCTGACACTTGTTGGTCAAGTGTTGCTGGTTGACGAGTGTTGTTGATTCGCGAGAACCCCCGTGTTCCCTTCAGCTGCTGCGACAATTGCGAGGTGGTTACCTGAAGAGGGACATCTAGAATGGCCCAGGGTGGACAGGGGTGACGAAGAGGGAGGAGAACTATCGAGACGAAAGAGTGCCGTCCTCTGCACCTAGTTGACTGCTGGCCCAGCTATTATTCCGCTGTACCGTCCCGTCGTCTGCACATAGCATACGAGTAGAGTGCGCGTGTGTGTGTATGTGTGTGCAAGTGTGTGATGCCAGTGCCTTCGAATAACCAAAATGTGTTGTACTGTGCTCGAAAGTTCGTATTTATCGTCGTACAGTGTGGTGATTTAAGCTTTATAGGATACCATGGATAACTCGAATTCAACGCTGAACGAAAGGTGAGTCCGTTTCTCGCGCTCCGTTTTCCCCTCATTATCTGGGCTTTGTTTTTGTTTTGAGCTGGGTGTTTTTTTTCTTCGTCTTGTTTTCGTACGTCGGCGCGACGGGGGTTTGCCTCTTTCTCTTCAAGTCGTGATTTATTCGGTTTAGCACACTTACGTCATTCATTTGCTCCTTTTCCTCCTTATTAAATGCATAAACAAAACCGGTTTGTCTGAGATTAGACCAGATCCTTGGGAGCATAACACACTCGCACACATGCATACACGTACTTTATATTCTTATTGTTTGTCCTCCTCTTGCGGGTCAGGTTCGTATTTTTTTGTTCATTTTGTTATTTCGAGGTGCAAGCGCACGTTTTGTGATGTAAACAGGTAAAGGGAGTGAGAGAGACGATTGGGGGGACAATTTTAGGTTCCCTTCATTTGACCATCATCAACAACAACAACATCTAGTTTACAGTCTGTGTTGTAAATATATGGGTTAATCAATATCAATGCGTGCGTGTGTGGGCTTTTTGACTCACTGTCAGCTCCTCTCATCTGTGCTTGTTATCTCGATTGATTTTCTCTTAATTACATTAATTATCGATGCTCACGTCACGTTGCAAATTGTGTATTATTATTATTATTCACGCCAATTATCCGACGAAAATAACAGAACTCGAGTAGCGTAAGTTCGTGTGCGCCGAGAGAAGTGTAGAGAAGAGCGGGACGGAGAAAAAGAAATACCGAAGTCCTAGTGGAGTTCGTGAGCATGTGTACATAAATTATTATTTTATCCAATTTCCTTTTCACATCACGTACGAATGCTAACTGTACAAATCGGAAAAATTTACATCGGCTTTTGGTCGCCGTTTACGTTTTACTCCCGTAACATTTCATTACAGTTTTCCCCCTTTGTTGTTATACTTATTATTACTTTTTGTTTGTTTCTTTGGCGGAAAACGCCCGTGCAATTTTCGCTTAGCCAAGGGCGATTTAGTGCACACTGCAGCAAAATTGTGGCACAATGGGCTGCACTTGCCGCACAAGCGTTTCGGACATAACGTCGCCTCTCCACCTCTCTTTTTTTTATCAGACGCCAGACACAGCCACCGTCGGTCTTCTATTTATTCCTCTCTTTTCAAGGGCCTATATTGGACCTATTCAATAATCAACCGAAACCTTGGTTTATCCACGATCATCCAGGTACCTGTCTCTAAGTATCCCAAGCAACGTTTTTTTGACAGGTTTAATCGTTCGAGGGGTTTTTCTTGGAAATTATCGCCAGTCTCAAAGGAACTGTACATGTAATACATACAACACTCCTATTTTTACGAAATTATTGGACATAGGATTACTATACTATATTCAATTATATGAGCAAAACAGTTAGCTTATCTTAAGATTAAGTTAAATATTAGGTTAATATATTGTCTAGCTGATAAAGATTTCTACTTATTTGCAATAAGATATCTGTAGATTTTCCAACCTAAAGGTTAAATCTATGTATCTCTTAAATTAGTTTATGTTAATTTTAAATCTTTTCAATAACTGATAATAACTTATAATATTTACATTACAAAATTATAAATACGACTTCATTCTCATATAAAATTAAGTTATCAGTTTAGAAAAGAATTTTTATTATATTTATTTTTCTAACGGTTATCTTAAATAATTTGCGCTTTCGATATTTCCGTCAATTTAACAATGTGTTGTAATTTCAAAATTAAAAAAAAGTATTATAAAGAATAAAATATGTTTTGAATTACAGTGCTGAAGGTATAACAATTTTATAATTATTTTCATATTTTTCACAATTTATATTTTCAAGGTCAAAGTGTTTACATATAGTTCTGAGCTCTAAATTTGGGTGCAGTAAACGTTACTAAATATAACTAAAATATAGCAAGATCTAATATAATGAATATAGATAATTATGTAATATATATTGGTTCTACAATGAAAAACATGTTTGTTAATTTCAGTTTTAAAATTATTACAACCATAAATCTTAATTTTAAGCATACACAAAGAAATTGTTAATTAAACTGTTTCTAATAAATCGAATTAGCAAACTAGATAAGGAATTAAATCGATATTTCATGCAATAACATTCTATTTCTAAACGTTATCAAGTCTTCAGTAATTTATGTAATATGCATTGAATAAATATATTATAGTAATAAAATTATTTGGAATACTCTATGTATTTATATAAATGTAACATAATACAAGGTTTTCGCAATATCAGCATGCATCGCTGACTCACCTCTGTTTTTTTTTTCATTCAACGCAGCATGTTGCAACAAACTAAAAGACTATTGCCATAAAATATAGTCATTAAAATGTTTCGTATATTCCTGTAAATAATAGATCAAGTGTTTTGTTTTGAAGACATCTAGTGAAAATCGTATTATTTTTTTTAGTTTCGATTTTGGTATAAATTAATGTTAATTATATGTCCCAATTACGGAACTTAACTTCCTTACTACATCGTCCTTCGATGACTTTTAATAGTTTTGATTAACGAAAAATTTTCATTATATAAAATAATGTGATTTAGAATATTATTGATATACTGTTATTTTGATAGTTCTTTGTGCTTCACCTAGTATGTAATATATCTAGAAAAAAATCAATTGGAATAGTGATGTTGAACCTATGACACGCGTATCTGAAGTGACACCAAAAATATTATAATTTTTGTTTTATCACATATGAAATATATTAGAAGTCAAACACACTTGTCCCTCATCAGTCATCATCTATTATTCCTAATTTTGATATACCGATCCCAAAAGGTTCGCTATCACTGACTCATTTTGAAAGTTTATTTTTCAATTTGTTGTTCTCTCTGCTTATATATGAATTCGAATGATATTCATATTTATTTATTCATGATCATATTTCGCTATGAGCGATGATTTTATTTAGCATTTCTTACAAATTGTATAATGCACAGACTGACTTTGCATTGTGCGAAAGGATTGCACTGTCATCGATAAACTATTATTGCTATTATTATTGTCTTCTCGTGACTGAGGTATTTTATGGATACAATATGGATTTGCAGAATTTCTTGTTGGTTGACAATATTTTATGATTTTACTACCATTTGATTATTATATTTTAAAATCAGTTAGTTTTTCTTTCAAATAATTCGAAATATCAACAGAACTAAACATAACTTTTTTTTTAAAATGTTAAAGTGAAATGTTTATAGTTCATTTGTATAATGATATGTTTATTGAGATGAAACTCTTGTGTGTAAATTACAGACAGTCCATCAATAAATATCGTCTATAATTATTTGTATTTAACAGTTTACAGTATATGTTAACTGTATATTTAGTGGAAGCTTCATTAATATTCCATGTCGTTTGACCATAGTTGTGACCAGATTTAAATTCATGTACAAGAGGAAAACTCATGACTCATTATTATTGACAAGCTTGAAAGCTACAACATCAGTAGCAACTTATGTAAATGTATGATATAAAAAGTGATATCATTGAGTAATGGTCTTTTGCAGCCAAGATAATTCCATGTGTGATTCATTTGCGATTAATACAACTATTCGTAATTAATACAATCGAATGCTTGTTATAACAATTGATTTTATGTAGAAATTAATTATAAACAGTAACCGACAACGGTGATGTCAGGCTTTAGTTGGATTTTCTGTCTATTTTTTTTAATGCCAGAATTACGATACGTCAGGTTTAAATAAAATGAAATAATAGGTATATGTGTTTGGAAAAGAAAACTATGAGAAGGTGTGTTTGAAATGCAAATGCAGTCAGTGTAACACAGTCCAACGTCATATGTTTTATTGATTCCAAGAATGTACGATGTTTATTACCGAGTGTGTCCGAAAATACATTCATTAGTATAGTATTATTTACGGTAGTCTTATGATTTTAATTACACCAAGAATGGTGAGCATTATTATTAGAATTTTTTCTGTATTAACTATTATTGGGAAGTATCTAATCATATCCGTTGAGGTCGCGAAATTACAGTTGTCGTTGTGTCAAAGCTAAAATTATAAATTATCAACTATCGACAAAAATATGTAACAATTAAAACGAATTTGATTCGTTAAATTGTCAAATTCATGAAAAGTTAGTTGGAATATGTACGTAAGCTTACATTAGCGTTGCGGAAAATACGGCAATATTTATTTCATATTAGTATCACATCACATCACATTTTAATTAATATTTTACAACCGCATTTCCTCTTGTTTACGTTTCATAGAAAAAAAAGCATTGATTCATGAATCTCCAAGAACAAAGCTTTACATTATTTGTTATGACCTAGTTTTATGGATGGTTTACTTGGAAGACCTTCGGTAAGAAATAAATAAACTAAACGAAAACTATCGTTAATTGAAATATAAATTCTTCCGAAATTTGAGATATGGATTAGGTAGGATTACGAAATAAGTTTAATTCAGGATTTTTTTTCGTTTCCTCGAACATCGTTTAATGAGGTTACTACCGTATTCCATTTCGTTAAGAAAGATTACCGTACATCGGGGGAATTCAAAGTAATTCTTGTAATACTGGTTTCGCTGTAGGTCTGAATTTCTTTCAACGTTCAAAATTTCGAGCGAAAACCCTACGAGCGTGTTTCATCACGTCGAAATGCGCAGTACGGAAAGATAATCATCAGATGGTATCTCCAGACAATTATTTGGCTGCAGGTTGTTCATAGTTTTTTTTTATGACCCACCGAAGTGGAAACCGTCGGATTATTTATTTGTATTTTTCTTCTGGTCGCACCCGTCTCGTAAAGCGGAACTTGCAGAATCTGATGCTGCTAGTCTGACATGTGGGGAAGGAAAGAAGTAGAAGAAGAAACGGTGTAATTCAATTGTTCGGTTCCTCTTCGTTTGTTTTACAACGCAACCTAATTAGTTAATTACGAAACGCTGTTTGTTTACCTTATTACAGTTGGGTGTATGGAAATGCCGGCGGAATTCGTTATGGTCTTTCGCGGATCCGGTGGGAGAGTGTTGCTTTTGAATGATTTTTTTTTATTCGAAGCAGAATGAAGGCGAGCGGAATAAAACCTGAAACCCTAGGTGGGCGCGATTTTCATAACTGAATCACGTCCGTCGTTAATCTGAGCAGCTGATCTTTAATACTAACTAATATTTAAAAAAAAATGTGTGCATAACGACGAGAAAGTTTTGTATAATATGGAGCAACTATCGGCGGCAATTGAAGAGTCGTTAAGTGGTAGAGACGAACTCCTAATGTTCGGTGGTTGCTGACCTTTGTATCCAAATGTAATAAGCAGGCTTTTCAGAAGGTTGACGGATTTCTTCAGACCCATATGGGCTATATAGTAGATCGCTATAGCCGATGTATTGTAAATCGGTCGATTTATTATAAGTAGCCGGTTCGTAGCCGGCTGGACTTCTAAAAATAATGGGGTCTAATAATAGTTGACGTTGTTTTTATAGGCTTCATTCATTTCCTCTCGATTTATACTGTTATTTATCAAATGGATGGACACCGTTGAGATCGGGATTTTTCGATGTCGGCCTGCTTTTGCGCCAATGTAGCGTACTCTGCATCAGATAACAAAATTCTAGGAATTATTCAATGCACCATTATATGTATGTTTGTGTATGTGCTCGATGCTTATCAGGGAGAGCTGTTGCGTATCGTGCCTCTTACGGGGGCGGGGTGATCTCGCAATTCTTAAATTAACGAGGACTTGTATGTTATGTAACCGCCCACTGTTTCTGCTTTCAGACGGACTTTGTCGAATGTGAACGGATCGGCGAAACGGAGCTCCGCGTGCACGCCCTCATCCCTCGCTGCCGGGGGGATGGGGGCATCCGCTCGGCCCGTCTCCTTGGCCGACAGCCAGAATTTCCCCCCAGGACACCAAAGCTCCGTCCGGGTGGTTGTCATCAAGTACGAGAATGGCTACGGCATGAAGGTTTCCGGCGACAACCCGGTCTTCATCCAAAGCGTCAAACAAGGTAACCATGACGATAAACAAACCATTTCCTACCTCTATCTAAATAAACTAGATTTTAACAGCTCAGAATCAACTCAATTCTAACGTTGACAAACTTGAAGAATATAAATATACCAAAAAAGTTGAAGTTAGAGGTTCCATTGTATATGAATGCCTTATTTAATAATTATTATGAAGAATAATGATTCTTGATGTATGTCATATATGGAAATGAGACCCAAATAATATTTAGCTACTAGTATTATCCGTTTTGTCTGCCAAACTGTGTAGCTAGTGAGCTACGAAAGATTTATAAATATAGGTCAAAATACTAGTATTTTGTAAAGATTTTTTATTTGGTGTGCCGCGAAACAAATTATCCTTACTGATTGTAAAAAAAGTTTGGCAAACACTGGTTTAAAGTAACCAATTTATCAGAATCTTCTAAAATAAATGTAGCAAGGATAAGACATTTTATCAAAAGAGGTGCAAAAATGATATAGCAATGTTATAATTACAAGTTTTATTAAAAAATATGCAGTGATAACTATAAGGAAACAATATTAGTAATATTGCACAAATAATAATCCAAGCAAATTTGTTATGTTAAGATCCATTTTTCAGATATTAATATAGATACGGAATTGATAATATTTTCGGTTTATTCAAATGATAAATTAAATAGTAAAAAACGTATGCTATTTGTTCCCATATTGATTAATTTGAAGGATTAAGAGTAGTATACCAATACAAGGTTGTATCCACACGATTGTTTCGAATTATATGTCCTGTTAAGCTATTGTTCGGTGAGTAAATAAATAGTTATAATTTTAAGAAAAAAATAATTACGAATTAATTGTTTGTTTTATTTGAACTCTACCCAGGCATTGTCATATCATTTTTGTACATACATTTTGCTATTGCATATTAAGCATACGTTTATTTTTGTGATGGTCATATCACATTTTATTTAAAAAAAATATATTACTTTTCCAGCAACTAACGATTAAATTTTTATTTCAGGGAAGTTTCTTATTACAACCATATATTTTTCATTGTATGAATTGCTTTCTTACATTCTTGTCCTAAGAGGTTTTTTTTTTGTAAATTATATTACAAGGACTGAAATGTCTATTTAATTTAAAGTGCGAAAGAATTAATATATAAAAGATATGTCAAGAAATAAAGATAAAGAGGTACGCAACGTATTGGCTGTCGCACAAAATTGTACTTAATTGCAAAAACAGTAAAACCGTATTTCGAAAATGCTGACGCAAGAAATATTTCATATTTTTTAAGCATGTTTCAGTAATACATTTTCTATTTCTATAAACACTATTATTTTGCATTAAAATGAATGAATATTGAATAATGAAATTGTTTTTGGTATTTATTTTTGCGTATCTAAATAGATGGGTTATTTTACATAATTTTGTTGCAGTAAGTAATTTAACTGGAATGCTATTCAAAGTTATATTGCACAGATTAGATTACAAATTAAAATATTAAGTTTTTGTGCATGAATCATTTTGATTGTGTATTATTAGATATAATCTCGAAAAAAACCGGAAAATAAAGCAACAGTTTCACAAATGTGTGCATTATCTCATGTAAATAATAGCTTTTCGTTTTTTTTACTAAAATATTGTTATTATTTAGTGAGTGTTATTCTTGAATGAAATATTTTTTCAGTTTCATCTGAAATGTTAAAGTTAATTTCAATAATAAATCCCTAACTTAAAAAATCAATAACATTCATTATTATTACACACGTGAATTATATTGTAGAAAACTTTATGATTGATTGAAAGATGCTTGAAAGCACGTCTCATGAGATTTTAATGAATGAAATTGAGCAATCACGTAATGGATTTTTGTTAGAAAGTGAAATAAGCCGAGCGGAATGTGTTCCAAACATTGAGTGAGTAATAAAATAAATATGCGATAAAGAGGCTAACAATAATGTATTATAATAACCGTTTCTCTCGATGTTCCAAATCTAATCGAATCTCTGTGTTATCAGAGGTTCCCAAACT